GCGTCCTGGGCCTTACATCTGTGCTGAATGGGATTTGGGCGGGTTACCTAGGTAACACTTTTGGTCACATTTGGTCATTACTTAAAAATACAGCCATAGACTGTATGAGCAGTATGCCATCACAGTTGTTCTCATGTTTCTTTCAGCTGGTTGTTACAAGACAAAGACATGCAGCTGAGGACAACTTATCCTGGATTTGTAGATGCTGTCAACCTCTACTTTGACAAGCTTGTCTCAGTTATTAAACCTCTGATGGTGAATCCAACTCACTGTTTTCACTATATCTTATATTGTTTCCAGAATAATATTTCCAGAATATTTTATCATTGAGGCAGAAATATTTTTTCCTTTTTTTCTTTTTCTAAGTTTGAAGAGGGAGGCCCAATCATTGCAGTGCAAGTTGAGAATGAGTATGGATCATATGCAAAAGATGAGAAATACATGGCATTTATAAAGAATGTGAGTTTATCAATTTCTTTCTTTGTCACTTAAATGTGTTACATCAAAGTGTAGATAAGTTAGCATCTTTCTTGTATGTAACATCTTCTTCTTCCTTTGACTGAAGTGTCTCCAGGCCAGAGGGATCAATGAGCTCCTGCTGACTTCAGACAACTGGGAGGGCTTGAGATTTGGAGGAGTGGAGGGAGGTAATGAAGTTATCAGAAGTAGCCCTTCAGTTAAACAGAAAAAAACTGAATACAACATTTATTTTTTCTTTGATACTATATGATGTTGGAGGATATTGTATCTTGCTCATTTCAGTTCTAAAAACAATAAATCTTCAGAGACTGTCATTTGGAGCGATCCAGCACTTGGCTGACATGCAGGTAACTGAATGTAACATGTATTAGTTATTTTTTTGCATATGTAAGAGCATCAACCAACAGTCAAAAGGGAAAATAATAGCCTCTGATAGTAGACAGCAAGATATGTATTTAATATAGGCATGTGTGCTTTTCTGTGTAGCCCCAGAAACCTCTAATGGTGATGGAGTACTGGTCTGGGTGGTTTGATGTCTGGGGGGAGCATCACCATGTCTTCCATGCTGTGGGTATGGAAACACTTCAGCAATTGTTTCTCCAGCAATAAAGTATAATTTATAATTCATTTCAACTGACAGAGAAGAGCATTACTACCTGACTTAACTCCTTCACTACTGCATATTGCTCTTTGGCTCATGTGTTTACGTATTAAATACTCTAGGAAGCATTGTACCGAGTGATTTGTGTGCTTCCCCTCAACAGACATGCTAGCTGTGGTGTCAGAGATCCTGGAGCGAGGTGTTTCCATCAATCTGTACATGTTTCATGGTGGAACCAGCTTTGGCTTCATGAATGGAGCGATGGACTTTGGCACCTACAGACCTCAGGTCACCAGTTATGGTTGGTAGGAAACATTTTTTGCCATTAGAGCTCAGAGACCAAAGAAAAAAGAGTGTCCCCTAAACAAATGCATTGCTTCATACTGTTTTTGTAAATGTTGACATTGCAGATTATGACGCTCCTTTATCTGAGGCTGGAGACTGCACCCCAAAATATCAACTGTTGAGGACTTTATTCAGCCATTACCACTGTAAGTTCCTTTTTAAGTATCCACATGTATTGATTGCATGACAAAAATTTTATGACAAGCCATATACACCAAGCTGTTCAATTGATGACTTCATTACCCTGAGTAATTGAGTCTTTCATAATTGGAACTTAATTAAATGTTTCTGCTAACTCGTGTTCCAGCTGAGCCTCTTCCTGATGTGCCCCCTCCTCAGGAGAGAAGAGCATACGACCCGGCTGTCATCCAGCAGCACCTGTCACTGTGGGACAGCCTGCACTTCACCGACAAGGTAAGATAGAGATACCGAGCACCTGTCTGGCGTGACGGTTGATTCTGTAATCTACTGAAGGGAAAATGTTGTATTCAAACTCCAACTAGGCCATACTGTCACTACTGGGATGAGAGCAAAATGTAATGGTGGTGACCCTCAGACAGACATCAGACAAGTGGGCTGTTAACAATGTCATCAGCTGGTGCATCTGCTGCTGTGTCTCCACTTGTCTGGAGATGTAGCACCATGCTGTTTATGCTCAAGACAGATGTCACACACCTGGCAGCTCAGATTTGGTCATGTTCCAAGGTGTCAACACACCAAGAAGTATCTGTCATATGCTATTTGGTCAACTCTCTTTTTCCACTTGCAGTGTCATGCATGCATATATATCTCGTACAATTTCATTCAGTGACAATACAAACCCAGCTCTGTAACTGCATCTTGGACCGCCCTCTAAAACTAGACAGATAATGATTTAACCTCACGCCACTGTTTTCAGATGTCTGATCTTTAGCATGTTCTGCTAGGTTCCTGTATCTAATATGTTGGGTTGTTTGATTGTTCATCCAGCCATACAGGTCAGAGAGGCCAGTGAACATGGAGAGTCTACCTGTCAACAATAGCAACGGTCAGTCGTATGGTTACACACTGTATGAAACCACCATCAGCAGTGGAGGAACCCTCAACTCCAGGAACAACATCAGAGATAGAGCATTGGTGAGGACATACAGCTCGACCCAGAGACAGACACGCAGACTGTTCATACATAATGTTTCATAATACTTTTTCTAAGGCTATACACATAATCCTGTCATTGTGACTTTTAATTTTCTCTATAGGTTTTTGTGGACAAACAATGTGTAGGTAGTTTGGACAACAAGACTCATGAGCTGACCCTCCCTGATGGAAAGGTAATGTTATTATTTCTGTTCTTTTCTGAACACGACATGCTTCATTCCTTTAGAGGAACTTACAACAAAATATGATTCTGAGAAGCTGTACATGGGGATCCTATTCAAACAAGCAGAGAAATAGTTTGTCTCATTGTGATCACTTTTCTTTGTTCAATAACTTTCCAAATGACTATCGTGTTTTGTGCATTAAAGGGAGAGAGGATGTTGAGCTTACTCGTGGAGAACTGTGGAAGAGTGAACTACGGGAAAGCTCTGGATGAACAACGCAAAGGTATTCTACCTTCACTCAGCAGTGTAATGTGCTTTGCCTCATTGGTTTGTAGCTTTTGCACCAGTTCAGTCATCTGAATCTATAGACTAGCCACTGTGCATTTCTTATGTATACTATAGAAGTGAGCATTACAACATTGCTCAAGCCAATGGAAGTATCATAACAGTTCAGATCATGTTGCTTGGGCACTGAAAAATCTATTCAGTTCACTCAGACAAGTAAAAACACTGCAGCTGCGGAGACTTTCTTCTTTCCCTTTTTGTGTTTTGTTTTACACCACAACCATGCAGTATATATAGAATAGAGCACACTAAAAAGCATGTGTCTGTGTACTGTGTTTTGTCTGCTAGTACTGCATGTCCGCATCTCATATTTTCCCCTCATATTAGGTATTGTGGGAGACATTCTGTTGAATCACAGCCCTCTGCGAGGATTTACCATCTTCTGTTTAGATATGAAGCCAGGCTTTATGAAAAGGTTGGTTATCTAAACTTCATTTTTAATACTGTGAAAATTACTACTAGACCTCTTCATGGACACTTATAGACAGTTCCTCATTTTAAATGAAGGGGTGGTATCACCCTAAAATATCTTTTACACCACATAATGTCAGACTGATTTTAGTTTCACATGTTTACAGTCAGTGTTTCAAATGATTGTTCGATCTTGTTTCAGATTAATAAATTCAGGTCAATGGAAGTCTGACCTCAAGTCGCCCTCCGTTCCAGGGTTTTTCCAGGCCAGGCTCTATGTGGATGGGCCTCCCAGAGACACCTTCATTACACTCCCTGTGAGTAAAACAAACAAAAAATGGTTATGCCTTGAAAATGGTTAATACTACAGTTTGCAAACTCACATTCCACATTATTATTTTATTGATCGTCCATCCACAGGGTTGGGGTAAAGGAGCTGTGTTTGTCAATGGACAAAACCTTGGACGCCACTGGTTCATTGGTCCTCAGCATTTCCTTTACCTCCCAGGACCTTGGCTCAGAAGTGGAGAGAATCAGGTAAACCCCTGTTGGAACACGTGGTGTTTAACAGCAGTTGAGTTCACCTCTGCTTTTTATTTTTCTTTAGTTAATCTGTGACAACCTTTTGTGTGTTTTATGTTCTCTTGCAGATCGTTGTTTTTGAGGAACAAAAAGCAGATGACAAAATACTGTTTGCTGAAAATCCTGATCATGGAAAGACAATTGATGTTTACAAACTCCCCTTTTGCACATTGCTGTGAAAATAATGTAAAGCAACAACACACATGCTTTTTCAAACACGCGCGCGCGCGCACGCACACACACACACACACACACACACACTCACACGTAGGGTCACAGTTTCTTGAGACCAGCGGTTACTGTCAGTAATTCAAATAGTCTACCCATACAATTAATTCACTAACCATAACATTTTCAGAAGCTATGCAGTATGGTTAATTTTATATTTTAAAGGTTTAGTGAAATGTTATATTTTGCCATTGATTCCGGTGCATTATGTCTTTTTTCGCAAAATCAATAAATTAAACATCAACACCTTCGGATTTCTTTTGTTTTCTCATTTCATTGTGAACTTTGCTCTGATTAAATATCGCAGTTTGAACCTTTGGCAGCGTGACACACCCTCATGGCTTCTCATTGGACCAAAGGCTTGTCTATTACTGAAGCGACACCTGACCCACACACAACTTTGTCTGTTAATATCAAAGCCTAGTGGCCGGAAAGAAAGACGTCTTTACCTTCACAATAAAGGGCTAACATTTGTTAGACTGAAAAATGTAGAGAAAATTCCCGGTACACAATATTGACATAATAGTCATATTTTATTGTTTTTTTGAATACATGAATATCTATATACACGTGTTCATATCATTGTGAATATATTCAGTGAAAATGTAATATATGTATTTATTTTGAAAATCATAGCCGGATGTTCCACTTTAGTTCTAGCTAACTTGACCTGTAAATATATACGCTATCCGCTGATGTTCCTGTGTTGGCACAACAATTGCGGAAAGAGCGCTCGGTCATTTTTAACTTGCAGAAGAGTCGACTACATGCCCTTCAAAGCCTCTGTTCAGGAAATTTATACCAGTAAATTTCACAGTAAATGTACTGATAAAAAATACGACCTTTTGAAATGGTTGTATAGCAGTTGTAGGAGCAGCTCCACAGTATCTTAGCCTAGCTTGAACCGGAGAGCTGCTGAACTGGACGAGTTAGGAGTAGGTTTGGATATTAAGTTTAGCTAAGTTGGGTTTTTACGACTAAAGGTTTGCTTCAGCATCCTAACATGGAGTCATTTGGAACCGTTGGCACAGTTCTTGGATGCTCTGCGGGCATTGCGGTGTGTGGGCTTGTGTTTGCAGCCTACAAACTTGGCATACTCTACCAGTTGTTTCACAAGGTAGGTTTTCTTAACATGCATAATTTTCTATTCCTTTACTCTACATGCATTATATTTTATTGCAGTATGTTGAACAGATGAGTCATAGCAAATACCCTTGCATCCTTTACTCCCACCTGTGCTTGGTGGGTTGTTAAAGGTGAAAGGTAAGCTGGGCTCATTAATGTAAACTTTGACCAGCCCTGTGGTTTTCCAGCACAAAGGCTATCACAACACCCGGGCTGTTAGTGGGATTGCACAAAAGCCAGAGGCACATCACCACTGCAAGCCTGACAATATGTGGTTATTGTGAAATATGAGAGGCCAATAGAGTGAAGAGATGGTGTGACAGGTGACCTCCAGAGGGGCTATCACCTCACACTGATAGTTGATTATCTATGAAAGAGCTTTTTTTCTACTTTACCAAATTGCTTATTCTATTAAATCAGTGAAATAACAGGAATGATCTGAATACTCTGTTCACTGGATTAACTTTTATTTTGTCCTCTCACTTGTTTCAGACTGAAACACAAAGTCCACGGCATGGTGGCGAAAGTGTGGCAGAGGTCCTCCGTGCCCATGGGGTCAAGTATGTTTTCACTCTTGTTGGTGGACACATCTCGCCCATCCTGGTGGCCTGCGAGAAGGTCGGCATCCGCATTGTGGACACCAGACACGAGGCCACTGCTGTCTTTGCTGCTGATGCTGTGGCAAGACTCTCAGGTGCAGATTTATGTTACCAGAATAGAAGTATCGACATATATGAATCTAAATATGTGACCCTCAGTCTTATTTGAGCTCATATTATTTTGCCAGCAGTTTTGTGGAATAAATGTATTGGGTGTGTTGTAGCCATGTTAAAGTGTGTTTTGCTAGAGGGCTTTCCCACTGCAAATAATATGAGTGGGGTATCTAACAGCGTTGATAGAGGCTGGATTACATTTAGGTCTGCCAGTGTTGTGACCCTGGTATTTCAAATAGTTTGGCATAGCAATGGGTTTAGATAGAACTGTCTGAATGTCTTATATATTGGGCTGACTGAGTCGTGAGTGTGTTTTTGGGGCTAGTTGATAGCTACTATGATTGTATTTCCTCCAGGCACTGTTGGTGTAGCAGCGGTAACTGCCGGCCCAGGCCTCACTAACACAGTTACAGCAGTGAAGAACGCTCAGATGGCTGAATCTCCATTGCTCCTCATAGGGGGAGCTGCTGGTACACTACTGCAGGTGAAGTGGATTCAAATACAGATGCAAATATGATGTGAATGTGTAGGTAAAATAAAGTAACAGAACAAAACAATTGTCAGTTTAGGAGCAGTGGGTTCAGCTGCTGTCAGTCGCAGTGTACAATAAAGTGTGTTATACTTAAGCTGTTCTCAGCTTAGGTTTCTAACCTCTCTGTCAACCGTATTTGTGGTACAGGGCAGAGGAGCGCTGCAAGATATCGACCAGATGTCTCTGTTCAAGCCGCTGTGTAAGTTCTGTGCCTCCATCAGGACTATCAGAGAGATTGTGCCTACGGTCAGGAGGGCCCTGGCCATCGCCCAGTCTGGAACTCCTGGTCCTGTTTTCATAGAGTTCCCCATCGACACACTCTACCCCTACCACCTGGTGTCCAAAGAGTTTGGGGTTAAGAACCCTCCCAAAGGCCTGATGGGAAAAATCGTCTCATGGTATCTTATCAGCTTGTCTTGTTGACACAGAACATGTATAATAATAAATGATGAATAAAAATGTAATCATACTGTATGAAAGTACAAGTTAGAATAAAATTACACGTCTATGCAAAACAAAAATCAGCAACATGCTACATTGTTACACATAAATAAATAGCCTGTAGGGCATGCTGGGAGCCCAGCAGCACACATACCTTGTAAATTTAAAGGCAAAAATGCCATAATACATTTAAAACAATATCATGTGATGGTGTGATTTCTCATAAGGTACCTCAGTAACCACCTCATGAACCTGTTTGCTGGAGCCTGGGAAACCAGAGATGTGTCTCCACTTCCCGTTGACATTCCACAAGCCACAGACGATCAGGTAAGACTGCTGCTGATATTAAACATATGATGCTACTTACATGTTCACTTTTAGTTAAAGACCTCAATCAGACAGCCCTCTCATTGTGTACAGTATTAAGAAGGTGTTTTAAATGGTTTGCTCTTTTTTTAACTTCTCAATACAAATCAGGTACAAAGGTGCATAGAGCTGGTGAGTCGAGCCAAGAAACCTGTTATTCTGCTGGGTAGCCAAGCAACACTACCCCCAACACCGGTCGATGACATTAGGTAAAGTAAAAATTATGCCCCCCTCTTCTCTACTTTTCTGTCCTGTGTCTGTCTGTTTTTCTGGCACTCCTCTATTTGGTTTCTCTCTGTTGATACTAGAAATGTTTTCCTTCTTCACAGGAAGGCATTGGAGGACCTGGGCATTCCCTGCTTCCTTGGGGGCATGTCTCGTGGCATGCTGGGTAAAGACAGTCCCATCCACATCAGACAGAACAGGAGAGATGCTCTGAAGGAAGCTGACCTGGTGCTCTTAGCAGGTCAGGCTACTTAGAATTTCAGTAACTATTTTGATACATTTTTGAGGTTGCCAGTATAGCCACAGGTTATTAGGAATTCCTAGAGAAATGTTAACATTGTGTGTTGTGTTTGCAGGCACTGTGTGTGACTTCCGCCTGAGCTACGGCAGAGTTCTCAACCGACGAAGCAAGATCATCGCTGTCAACAGAGATAAGACACAGCTGCTGAAAAACTCAGATATGTTCTGGAAACCAACTATAGCAATTCAGGGTATGTTCCCAAGCTGCAATCATCATCCAGGTTTATAATTAAAGTAGCAATATGTCAGCATTTTAGATCTCTGGTGATAAGTGAAATGAAAAAAAACTTTTTGTCACTGGCTCCAATTTATTACTGAAATGCTTAAAGTCTAAAATGTAAATATTGGTCTATTTTTTTTAGGTGATGCTGGTTCATTCTTAGTGCAGCTTTCTAAAGGCCTGAAGGGCCATCGCTGTCCAGAGGAATGGCCTCAGAGCCTCAAAGCAGGAGATGTGACCAAAGAAAATGTAAACAGGTGCGCAGAGGTGACGATCCCTGGTCCCTGTTCTGTGTCTCAGTGCTTATTAGTGAAGTCTTTAAAAATAAGAAAGGAAACATATTGTTATCAGTAATGTTAATGCAGATGCAACGTCTCCATCACATAAACCAGTTATTTTTTATTCCAGGGCTAAAGCTGATGAGAAGACAGAACATCACCTAAATCCACTAAATGTCCTCCACCGTGTGGATGAGCTGATGGCAGAGGACAGCATCATTGTCGCTGATGGCGGTGATTTTGTTGGAAGTGCTGCTTACATAATGAGACCAAGAGGACCTATGCGCTGGCTGGATCCAGGTGAGATACTGTAGATCAAAAGGTTATCTAAAAGGCTTGTAATTTCAGCAGTATGACCATGAAATAATAATTTAAAATAACTTAATTTGTTGACTTTACTTGTTTGCTGTTTTGTTGCTTGTTTGTGTGACTATAAAGAGATTACAGGAGTGCACAGAAAACTATGTTGTAGTAGTCAAGTTCATTCATGTTATTCAAAATCTAAAGTTTGTTCTACATAATCACAAGTCATGTTTTGTCTGTATTTTAAGAATGTATTCTGAGGCTAATAATGCTTTATTTGCAGTCATAACTGTCCTGTTCCTCATTCCTACAGGAGCCTTTGGGACCCTGGGAGTTGGAGGAGGATTTGCCCTGGGGGCAAAACTGTGCCGACCTGAATCTGAGGTATAGTATTTATTCTGGCATTTCTGAAAGCACTTTTCTTTGTTCACCCTTTACTAATGAAATGCCTCTTTGTGTGTTTTTCAGGTGTGGATAGTGTATGGTGACGGCTCCTTAGGATACAGTGTTGCAGAGTTCGACACGTTCACCAGACACAAGGTAAAATCACCCACACAATTATCCATGACAAATGTGAAACAGTAGCATAATTATTACAAACAACACAAAGCAGTGTTAGTTTTGACACAGTTTTGGCCAGTCATTAAAAAACAAAGCATTGCTACTGTAGAGAATGGCATAAATGGAAAAGGTAATTTAGATTGAAATCACTTAAAATCTTAATACAGCATACATTAGGGTCAGGCTAAGTCAAACTTATTTCATAGCTGTACTGGAGCATGTGTTTGAATTAGAGCTTTTAAAAATAAAGTTAAACTTAATTACTGTCTACATAACATATACCGTATGGTGGACGGAAAACATTGCTTGATTGCTTGATTGGATATATATTGTGTAATTGATCGCTATCCTACGGTTGTCTTTTGGAAGCCGCTACAGGTGTAACTTAATTGTAAGACAACATCGTGATTGGATTTTAATCATTTATGCATCCAATTTTTGAGACTTCGAGCTGTCAGAGCCTGAAACAGAATTATGTCAAAATTTGGTGAAAAAAATATAGTAAAGCTCTTGGCAGCTGTAATGCTAAATTAGCTTTTAAAATGTATTGATACCCCATTATAGGCTTCATGAGATTCAGCACATGATTAACCTAACTGTGTATTGTTTCTGTAGCAATAACATGCAAGAGTCTATATTTTTGATTTCTTCTGATGTTCCACGTTTTATTCTTTTTTTATCCCAGACACCAGTTATAGCTGTGGTGGGAAATGATGCATGTTGGAGTCAGATCTCCAGAGAGCAGGTTCCCATCCTTGGCAGCAACGTGGCGTGTGGCCTTGCATTTACAGGTACATTTTGTCCACAACATGTTGCATGCTTGTAGTATATGCACAGAATTTTCTTATCTTCATGTCTAATGTCTGGGCAGTTGCTAACTGAAAAATTGTACTCTCTCCCCCTTCTTGCAGATTATCACATAGTGGCAGATGGTTACGGTGGTAAGGGCTACCTTATAGGGCGTGAGGACGAGGACAGGCTAAGCAACATCATCAGACAGGCTCAAAAGGAGACCCAGGAGGGCAAGGCTATACTTCTCAATGTTCTGATAGGGAAGACCAACTTTAGAGAGGGCTCTATCTCTGTTTAGAGCAGAGATATTTTTCTTTAACACTGGCTATCTTCACAGAGTTTTACTATTAGACTCTGAAAGGATTTCAGCAAGTAGGACAAAATTATTTAACCTTGCCCTGACCAGACCTCTGCTAATTCTGTGTGCCCTTAAAGCCATATTTCACTTTGATAAGAGGAACTGTCCACATTATGCTGCTTTCCCATAAGAGTTCAGTTATGATATCACTTACTTCCCTCATCGGATTAGTCATAAATCATATTAGTAAATCATACAAGTACCAGTCATGACTATTATTATTATTATTATTATTATTATTATTATTATTATTATTATTCATAGCCACTTTATTTATTTATGTATTTATATATATTTATTAACTCTTATGTTCCACTTATGCTTAAAACATAGCTGCAGATCTGACAGCCTAGAAACTAAAGCTTTTGTTGTGCGTGCTACTTTCAGGGTTATGTTGTGTTCTTTGAAAGCATTTTGAGAAGGGGAATTACGAAAAGTAAGAAAACCTTGCTTTGATTAGGAATTTTACCTCTTCGGGTGCTTTGGAGTTTTATTTTTTACCTTTAACCAGCCTATTATAACTTAGATAGATGTTTCTTGCAAATAAACAAGTGACAGAAAATCACTCTGCTTGAGAAAGAGCATTGGTTTAAGTTATCTAATGTGACCAGTATGCCTTTTCCCTCGCCTTTCTACGAGGATTCATGAAATCTTACAGCTGTGATGTTCTTTATCAGTTGGGATAAAAAATTGTTAAAATGGGAATTATTTTTTTGAATGTTGAAGATTGACAAATGGTATGCCTTTTAATGTTTGATTGTATATTCAAATCATTTCACCCCTTTTACACAGCCTGTTCAAAGCGGGAATGTTGCGTTATTCCTCCTCACCATTCTGTATAAAGGTACAAACACTTTCAGGAGGACAGTGTTGTTCTGGCAACACGGAATAGTCACAGACCTGAATCAACATCTGTGTAAAAGGGAGAGCTGTCATGGCGGGACAATATGCCAGCCTTTTTTGGTTCAGTGTAAACAAGCAAAAGCGTCATAATGAGGGGTCGGGTCTTATAGCAGGATCTCTATATAAAAGAGGTTATTGATATGTATAGATTGAAAATATGTCTTCTCATTCAGTTATGTATTTAAATGATATTTAATACTAACTTGCTAACTTGTATGCAGAGATGTGGGCTAAAATATGCCTATACACAATATATATTGCATTACAATTATAATTTACACTCCAGACAAACATGCAGGGGCCATCTCACTCCAATATTGCTGTTTTATTTGGTACTTTAAGGGATTGGATAATGTCAGACTTTTGATTATAAAATGTTAATTTGGATTAATTCTCAAATAAATTTAAAAAAGTGTGGGTAATGAATTAGCTTTTGAATGATCTTAGCATAGACTGTATTGCAGGTACAGTAGGTAGAGTTTTATGTACGGATTACCATTTATTTATTTATCTTTTTTTGTAACATCTCAATGACCGCAACCATAATCTACCCATAACTTTCATTACTTTCTATATCTCTAGTTGAACAGTTACATTACTTTTTAATGTTTGGTTTAAACTGACGGAAAAGGCTTTGATTTTATTGTCTGCTTTCTACAGTTAGCCTGCAGAAGTGGAGTTAATATTGCAAACACTCCCTGCTACTTGAACTTCAAATCTGGCAAGAGGTGCAATATTGAGGTGTGTATGTATATTATAAAGTATGGATTTCTTTTCATGTCAGTGGCACCACTTGTAGATGGTAATGAGGTACAGTAGGGCTTCTGTTTTATGGTATGTCTGAGGTGCAGTGTACCCTGTTTTTTGGAAACACAGCAAAGCTTATAAAGTGTACTCATGCCAACTGCGCCTGCACCCATGGTGCAAGTGGGCCAACAATCCCCGGGTAAATATTTGGTCTCAGTTGTTGGATGGACTGCCAACTATACCACCACCTGAGTGGTTCAAAATGCTTCAACTTTGTGAAGTCACATACAAACAGTATATAGCATCCTCACATCTGTTATCAATAAAATACTTGACACAAGAGCAGCAGACAAAACACTAAAGGATTTAAATTACAAATGTCTTTGTCATGAGGTGCTGTGACCTTTGCCCTTAATACTTCTAAGTGCAGTTTTCATTTTAAACAGGAGATGGCAGGCTAGGCTAGTAGTAATTTTACTGAAATTGTATATGCTGACGTGTTCCTGTTTAGCATAAGTTATGGGGGAAATCAACAGTCCATCTGGGAAAACATCTGCTGTTGGGAGTATCATTAAATGACAGCTTCGCTACAACAGGGTTTGGTGCGATTCAAAATAAGAAAAATAGTGTTTATGGGTTTACTTTGAAATATGGAAACTATGGCTTTTAATTACAAAAGTATAAATATGGATCTGAGCCTCGAAGTTTCTGATACAGTATAATTTTACTTTTTATTAAATCTGATAATCACATTGTCTAAAGATGAGGTCTTGAACAGGAAGACAGATTGGTTGAGTTCTGATGTTTTCTGAATGATTTTACATATTTGATTGCACAGATTTCTGAATGAAGCTGCAAAGGGCTGCAACCTGCGCAATAATTTCATACATGCAACAGCTTGTGGTGTAAACAACGATTTGTACAAACAGTGCACTTTATTTAAGATTGTTGTCTGCTGGCTAGCCTCTTGACCTTGGTTCACGTCACAGTCAGAAAGCCTCTGGGTTTTGCTGCATTCAAGTGCTCTTTGTAAATCTAATTCTTAGCTTTGGAATTGTAAACAAGTGCTTTGTTTTGTTTTAAAAAAAAAAAAAAGATCTTGATATACTTTGTGATGCAATGGATGAGGAAACACTATTGTATGTGTAATTTAACTATTCAAGATGGTATTACTCATACTTCTGAACTCCGTTAAATAAAACTGTGAGCAGATTTAGACTTTATAATTGATATGGTATATCAGAATGACTTATACAAAGTAATAGATAGATTATTTACTTAATACCTTATTTACAAAACATCATTCGTTTTCTGTCGTAGATGTGAGCTGTTTCTGTTTCGTGCTGATATTTTTTTCTGTTTTACCGATAGACGAGTCTGTTTTGATGTGTCTGATTTTGATATGCTGTCAGGCAAACTTCCCATGCGGGAAAGTTAGGACGAAACTGATTTATTCTGAGGGCACTTGAAGGCATCATATGATCAAGCGCACATCACTTACAGGCGGTGACTTTAACCACTCCGTTAAACTTAAACGGGCAATGTTTAGAATAAGAGCAGGTAAAGTCGAGAACGTTGCTGGTGTGCAGTGGTAAACGGGATAAACGAAGTAACTGCGTTTTTTAGCTAAACAGACTGGTTAACAGCGGGTATATACCGCTTTTATCACTCTAACGCTACCCCCAGAATGACGAGTAAAATAGAGACGGTTTCGGACTTTTAACAACATCGGGACACAGCTAACTTAGCTTAAAGCAAGAAACAAACTAACGTTAGCTTAACTGGGGACGTTTGTAAACGTTTGTTGGGTTTAGTTTTTCCGTTATACAGTACAGCACCGACGCTGACGGTAACTTAACATCAGGTTAGCATTAGTTAACACTATCGAAAAAAGCTACAAACTCCAAAGTCGAGTCGATTTCCAAGCCGTTTAACGTGGCCCACTTTAATACAAAATAGAATTTTGTTGACTTCGAATCAAAAAGATTTCTACTTGAACAGAAATAAACACTGGACATTAACGTACCTACATCAAGGTAAGGTAATGTGGTAATGCTAGTTAACTTTGCCTTGTACGTCAACATTAGCATCGATGTAACGTTTTGTCTATTGAATGAAATATTACTGTTATTGTCTCGTCAGAAATTAATGTTAAATGTATAACTGCACTGGGGTTAAATACAAACACTGATTTCCACCACATGGCTTGCTGTTGAACCGTTAGGACATTGACTTATCATAGAGTTAAAGTTAAGAAAAAACATTAGGGAAGTAGCAGCTGTTTTAGAAAAATTGGGTAACGTCACCTGGTCTGTTACAAGTTTCCCTGAACAATAGCCTTACTGTAGGTTGGGTGTTTTTTAACAAAGGATACCTAGTATGTCATCAGATAAGGTGTGTTGCCAGGAAGGAATTAGTAAATGATTTCCTGTTTGTAAAATGACAAGGATAGGGTTAAGCAAGACAGGTTAATACAGGAATTCAATTGACAGAGGACTATTTTTTGATCTGGCAGGTTATATCTATTGTAATTCACTATTTGACATGATTCCAGTGTGATCAGGATGTTAAGGGTGAAGAAATAACAGCCAGCCAACAGTTGTATGTAACAGCTTTAGTATGAAGGATTGCTGTATTGGGTTGGCTTTTTGCTATTTGCTAAAACAGTCATCTCTGAACTTAACCAAGCCTTTCAGAGGTAGCATGTGGTTGATCCTCTGTCTGTTTCAGGAGCTGAATGGCCTCCGTTGTAGCGGTGAAAACTGAGAAGCGACCTGCAGCTGATTCTCAGGATGCAGACTCAAATGCAAAAAAGCCCAGGTAAGCTGATGTGCTGCTCTGGAGCCAGCTGCACATTATGCCCATAACTCATTCATTGGTTTTTGTCACCAGGACTGATTACAATCTTTTTTATCTTGAGTCCCTACTTTTTTGCCAGTTCTAAATAAAGGTAGGTTTTAGTCTTGCACTGCATGCTGGTGTGCTTGAAAATGGTCTGTTTAACCTTCATGCTGTCGGAAGGATTTGGGAAGCACCTTCCTTGGAACCATCATCACTCAATCTCTGCCTGCCCCAAAGGAAACTGCTGCCCAGCCTGAAGACCAAGCGAGCCCCCGAGCTGGTCCTGGTGATTGGCACAGGGGTGAGCTCTGCAGTGGCCCCTCAGGTCCCTGCACTCCGCTCCTGGAAAGGCCTCATCCAAGCCTTACTTGATGCAGCAAATGACTTTGACCTACTAGAGGAGGAGGAGAGCCGGCGTTTCCAGAAGCACATGCAGGAAGATAAGAATTTGGTGCATGTGGCCCATGACCTCATTCAGAAACTTTCCCCGGTAAGACTGCCTGAGCTTTTTTCCTTGCCTTTCCTTTCTACACCACCCTGTTGCACATGCACAAACACATGGCAGACAGACTGCCAGCTCACTGTCCTTTCCTCAGTGAGGGACATTTTGTCTCAGCCTCCATGAATTGAGATAAGACATCTTAGCCTTATCTCATTAAAAAAAAAACCTATACCTAATGACACAAAGCTTGTTTGTGGGACTCATTCTGAGAAATTTTTGTCAATACACACAAACACTGTAGTCAGATGATCTTGACTCATTCACACATGCAATGAGTAGGCTGTGTTTTGTGTTTCGCATTTATTGGTGTTTTTAAAACCACCAGTTTATACAAAAGCAGGGTTGCTGAACCACATTAGTGTTTTCTTTTTTAACCCTCCCTTGCCTTCCTTGATCAAGGTTCACAGCACATTTCCAGCATACAAACCTGGATTGCACTGGTTTTCTATGTGCCTAAAAAGTAGCACATAGCTACAGTTGTAGGGTAGTTAAGGTAGTCTGGCTGCTGATGTTTTGGTTTCATCAGCCAAACCCATATACATTGGTAAGAAGTTCCCAAAAATGTGTTTTGTGATGCCTCGTCAACTTTTAAATGTCACTATTATTCAGCCCGGTATTCACTTTGTTACTCTTGTTAGGTGTCAGTAAAAACTCAAATGATAATTGTGGGTTTCAGATGCAGAAATGATAATACAGCAAACTGGAAATTGTATGTTAGATGTTTGCTTGAATATGAGAGACAGAACCCAACCTATCACCCATAGTGAGGACATCCCACATATTTGTGATAATTAAGTAAAGCTTCATGATTGATCGTATTAAATAGCAGTTTCAATTTAAGCCTCTATGCAGTCTTCCTCTAAAAATGTATCCATATTTGTATCAAGAAGGAGATCCATTCTATCACAGCAAGCATTTGTAATTTTAAGACTGCATTATACCATGTGACAGCAGAGAGGACAGAGAACAAAAATTAATCTAACTTGTGTGTGTGAGAGAGAGACTAAAAAGAATGCTTTGAGGAAATAGAGTAAACAAGAGGATGAAAAGTCAGAATCAGGAAATTTTTACTGGTGATGGTGAGTAAAAGAAAACACCAGTTCACATAATATTGAGTTCATTCTTGGATTTCCAGATAGCTCAGTTCACTTTCTATCGGACAGGTCTGTTTTGGAGCAGGGCTGGCAGATGGGAGTCTTAATACCGTTTGCCTCCTGTGTTAGTCATGTCTCATCGCACCTTTGACATTGATAAAACACGCTTTGTTTCAGCCCTCCAGCCAGTTGTCAGAAAGGGAGCAAACAGCGCTTTTATGGCTTTATCCAACGTGTTTATTTCAATCCACAGTTGTGCAGACACCAGCCCACTGCTGTTGGCTACACCACACAGCAGGCTCTAGCATGCTGAGGAAAAAAAAACAAGCATGGAATAATGTGAACCAGCAGCCCCCCACCCCAGATTTTCCATTTAGACAGTTAAAGCAGCACCCAAACAGCAAGCATACTGTAAGTTACAGCAGAGGTGTAGCGTGTAGTGATTTTTTTTCACATAATCCATTGCAAAAATATTTCCTCTGTTGCAGTTTAGCACATGTTAGCACTAGACCTGAGTTCATGTAGTTGTTTTACTGTCCTCTGGCTGAAACAAAAGGAATTTCTCCTTTTGTCGATCCCAGTGTTTGCCCTAAGGCTTAAAGCTAAATTCAACATGGAATTCACTTATGTATAGACTGCCCCTTGAATCATACGTTAGAAGCCCATCAAAAACCACACAGAAACTGTGTATTCATTGCTACACTAAACTGGGAATTTCATTCTGATGTTAATCATTGGGAGGTGTCTAGTAATATCAAAATACTAAGAAAACTGAGGTGCTTGAGGAGGTAAGAAAGCTGCACTGAGTTCCAGTTAATTCCACTAACAGTGGACCTGTGAGAGTTTAACCCACTTATCATGAAATTGTGTATCAGTTGGATTATGGTGGTCTGCAGGCACACGGTGTCAGATAATGAGGGTAATCTTAAATAAAAACTCAGAGAGAAGGTTTTTGTCGCAAATCCTCTCATACCTTTGACCTTGGCAAAAACGAGGCTAATTACAACTTTGCTGACTGGTTTATTTATTCAAGCAAGAAATGTAAACAGGGTCAGTGGAGAAAGCATTTGATCATCTGCTGATATTCATTTTGGTGGTGATCTTAGATTTTCAATATTTTCAATTTGGAAACTGATTATTAATATCTATCATCTAAAGCCCTGCTTTGAATCTTCTTACAAAATGAAATTATTGCTGCTATGTTTCCTAAGTCAATTGTCAGTGTGAAATGAACCATAACAGTGTGTGGATACAGATCAAGAGTTCAGGTTTTGTGTTGTCGAATTATGGACATTTTCCAGGAGCAACAGACTTGTGAAGAGTCAATCTCTTAACATTTCTACACCCATATCTTAATTGTACTAATTTAGCACATGTTCAGAGTAGGGCAATCCAGAGCTAGCATAAAACTCAGAATAAAATATATTTTTGAAAAAAAAACTATTAATTTAGAATGAATATTTAGAAAACAGAGTTGTTTACTGGCACTTCATTTGGTTATTACATAAGTCCTGAGACGGTCCAGGGACACAGTGATCAGGATGGGTGCTGTAGACACTATGGGGATAATGAGCTTCTTCCTGTGGAAAGGACTCCTACTGTTTAGCCCATTAGAGCTGTAATCTCTGGAAGCCAGCAGAGTATTTCCCTGTGCTAGAATCACCTTGGTCACTGCATCTACTGCACTACCCTTTGCTATTCTTAGCTGCCCGACTCTTCCTGTTTTTTTTTTTTTTTTTTTTTTTTTTTTTTTCTTTTACAACAGGCTCTGCCAGGTAAGAGTGAGCTGTAGCTTGTGCAGTCGTCACAGCCCGTAATCTCTTTGCAGACTCAGGTGGTATGAGAGCTGCTACTTGAAGAGCTGTGGACAGGATCAAAGAGGGTGATTGATGGAGTGTTTTTTTTTTATATATATAAAGAACAAATTTGTCCTTGAGCAGGTATTTTGAAAACTAGCACACACTTGACACACCCCTGAAGTCTCACTTGAGAGTAAATTAAGGCATTTAAGTTGCCGGTAGGAATTCCTGTAAAGGCCTGTGCTAAGAGAAACTTCTTGAAACCATATTAAGGCAAAGCATCAAAGCATGCTGATTCATGTCCAAGACCTGTTGAATGTGACTGCTGTATATGAATAGTTAGTTTGTTTTAGTTTGCACCCAAAACTTGATAACTAAGTAACAAAAATTGTACCTACTTCCCATCTGTTTCTAAAATGAAATTACACCACACTGTTGTTTTAATTTGTCATCATTTCAGTGTTGGTGGTGGCAGTTATGTGACGGTTCCACCCTGCTTCTAAGTTGATTTAAAAAAAAAAAAAAAAAAAAAAAAAACATACATCATTCAACTGTTGAACAAGCGGAGCTTACATGCACACATTTATTTTAAGACAGTTGGGCAGGTCACATGGTATGATAAGTAAAACTCTACTCAAGAGGGTTCAATCCCATTAAAAAGCTGCTTGTTGTGGGTTAGCGAAAGTGTACTGGACATCACAGTTGCAATAATTTGACAATGGCCAACTACTTCCCCAAAAGGTATTACAGTAATTATGGTTATGTACAAACAAGTTAAACTAATGAATTTGGGGCTGTCAAATACTAACAGGAGTCAGGGATGATTCACATAAAAAAATATACTCACAGCACAGCAAAGATGTGATGAAATGAGGAACATATTATTTACCCCCCATTTATTTAGTCATTCAGTCTTCAGTCTGCACATAGAATGTCGGGTTGAAAGCATTGCAGTTTTTTATCGATATTTAAAATTGGGAGAGTGTTTGGCCACTCTTGTGTTAAAACCTCACCAACCAAAGCAGAATGGATGACACAGTGTGGTGCAGTAGTTAGCACTTTGTCCTCAGTGCTGGTAGCAAGAAGGCTCTGGGTTCAAACCTGCCTGCTGGCCAGCTGGGGCCCTTCTATGGGGAGTTTGCATGTTCTCCTCGTGCATGGGTGGGTTTTCTCCAGCTACTCAGCTTCCTCTCACAGTCCAAAGACACGCAGGTTAGACTCAGGCAACTCAGCCCTGTCATAGACTGACAACTTCCAGGGTGTAGCCCGCCTCTTGCCCAGTCCATCCCCTAGCTGATGGATGGATAATGGACATATTTTTTCTGTTGTGAAAAGTCAGCGGTCTTGGTTGTAAAGCTGTTTTACATTGCAGTAACAGTAAAAGTCTTCACAACCATGTGTACTCCAGATTGTAGATGTGACACTTTCACAGAATCAGTGCTCTTGTGGTCATTATGTTTAAATTTTTTGTTATATAAGTTTTACTTCCACTTGACACATATATAGATCACATCGCTGCTGGTTGTTCACTGCATTTCCCTTTCCACTGTTATGCTAATTCAGTGCTGTTTAAAGATGCTTAGCTGAAAATTAATTATCAAGTATAAGTACGTAGACACAGTGGATATGGCCGTTTATCTTAAATGCATCATGCACTGAATGAAGTCTTACAAATTGTTAGGTATTTCCTGCAGTAATACCACCATGACTTTCTGTGAATTTGACATTTCAGACCTGCAAAGCAGTTGTGTGAAAAGTGTGCAAATTGGACAACTTTTTATATGTGTACTTACCATAAAACAAGAATTGTGGAGTTTATCAACAGAAAACATTATTCCTAGCATCGCTTGTTTTTTTTCTTTTCTGTTTCAGAGAACAGGAAACGTGCGATCTACATTCTTCAAGGACTGTCTATACGAGGTGTTTGATGACTTGGAGTGCAAGATGGAGCATGCAGGGAAACATCTACTGCGCTCAGTGTTGCAGTTAATGGAGAGCGGTGCACTAGTCCTCACCACTAACTTTGACAACTTGTTGGAGATATATGCAGCTCACCAGGGCACCAAGCTGGAGTCTTTGGACCTGACAGATGAGAAAAAGGTAAACAGAGCTCAGATTGTGTTATGGCATTGATTGATCTTTCCTTCCACAATACAACCAAGTCAGCTTTTTTCAAATGAGTGCAAAGGCCAGTAAAGCATGCACTAAAACGAGCAGGTTTTGTTTTGCCAAGCTGAAATTGTAGGACTTTTAAAATCCCTAGAAATTTTGAACTTGAGTTGCATTGTAACACATTTAACATGCTTAAACATTAAGGAATTCTTTGAATGGGGGAAATCACAGATGAATCCACCTGAATAGTATCTTGTCCTGATTTACATATATGAAATTCTCTTGCGAAGTTCCTTGCTGATAATATAGATAATGCTTTGACCTGAAAGAGCCTTTTGTCTCTGACAGGTGGAGGAAGGTTAAAGTTCTAGTCATTACTCAGACACTGTTGAGTTTTATAGATTGAACAATATTTGCTTTTGGTTTAAGACTGGGGTGAAAAGGAAGCATGTGTTTTCCAAGTAAACATAGGTTTGTTTCCCTTCTGACCAGTTTCTATACTAAATCCCAAGTCATCCAGTCGCGTCATTTTCATCCCAGTTAATTGAAAGTTAATTTGATTATTTGTTAAATAGAACACAAATTTGCAAGAATTGATCAGAGTTTTCCGACAGACCCATCGCCGTGCCTCTCAGTCCTGGTATTTATGCCTTGTCTCCATCAGGGCTAATATCCTCTAACTGCTGCTCAGTGATTTTACACCCTGCCCAGCTAGAACAGGATTGAGTGCAATGGACTGTTAAGTGTGTGTGCGTGTCTAGGTGTTGGAGTGGGCTCAGGAAAAACGGAGGTTAAGTGTTCTGCATATCCACGGTGTTTACACCAACCCCAGTGGTATTGTACTGCACCCTGCTGGCTACCAGAATGTACTGAGGAACACTGAGGTCATGGTGAGCTCTGAAATTGTTCTCTGTTGGTTGTTATGTTTCTGACCTAGGAATTTAATGGCTAACTCAAATTTAAAATGTGTTAATAATATCACGTTAGGGTAGTATATTGAATTGCAAGTCGCACAAGGTTGTCTGTACCAAATTGCGTCTGTCCCTGCACTAGTTCATGTAAAGAGTAATAACGTATATTACTGCTGGTTTCAACAGCGCGAGATCCAGAAGCTGTATGAGACCAAATCATTCGTATTTCTTGGCTGTGGGCGCACAGTGGACGACACAACCTTCCAGGCTCTGTTCTTGGAGGCAGTCAAACACAAGTCGGACCTGGAGCACTTCATGCTTGTGCGGCGCGAGGACGTGGGTGAGTTCAAGAAGCTGCGTGACAACATGCTGGACAAGGGCATCAAAGTCATCTCCTATGGAGACGAGTATGCCGACCTGCCTGAGTACTTCGAGAGGCTGGCCAATGAGATCTGCAACCGTGATGTGTCTACCAATGGCTGGGGTAAGGAGGATGACAGCTGATCACAGTTCACTTGTCTGCCTATTTGTAGTGGATGATGTGTTCTGGCAACCCTGTCTCCAAGAAATTACATTTATATACAACTAACAGTAAATATGCCATCCATGTCCTTGCAACTCAGCTGCAATGAGTAAACGTAGTGCTTCATTAAAAACACATTGCCTTTGAATGTAATGCAGCCAGTGATTACTTTGCTACCACAACAAAATTGGGAAAACAGTATCATATGATGGTATTTTCTAAGAGACAGGGATGGTTTTGGAGTCTTAACAAAATTTCACATTCCACTTATTATACACATGAACTGAAATTTACTCAATGATGAGAACTATACAGCCAGTGAAACAAGGTGTATCATGTCATCTGTGGCAGTGAAGTTGCTTTCCAAAGTTTGAAGAAATAACCCTGATGATGCCATATGGGGGGCAATGAAAGACAGTTGCATTATGGGTAAAATAGGATCCAGTGATTTTGGAACATGACATATACCAAGAATTAAATGTCAGGATATCTCTGCTTCTGCTGCTTTGATTTGGACCAGTTCCCCAACTTAATGGAAATGCAATACTTAACACTATCACTTGTACCTATCATTGGAGAACCCCATTAAAAAGTTTGACAGTGGGATAGTCAATGCTTGGTTGCCTCTGCTGTCACAACAGCAGGTTCTGCTGCTCTATTAACCTTCTGTATTGAAGATATGAATTAAATTGTTTGGGGTCCCAACATAGCTTGTCTCTAAACATCTCTTAAAAAAGAAAATGTGGGATTTTCTTGCATTTAATTCAGCACATCTACTTAACATGCCCACTCACCCTTCTTAAAAGAGTTGAGGATATGAGTTGCCTACATTTTATATATATGTTTTTTCCTCTATCTACAGGGTCTCCCTCACAAAATGGTGAAGAGCAGCAGAATGGATTTAACACACAGAAAAGCCTCCTTCAAGGTTAGGACTGAATGCTTCTCTTTGACTTCAGACAGTGGCCACTTGCAAGAGACATTTCCAGAATAACACAGTAAACGCTGTCCAAGACTCTTGTTTTCTTACTGCATGCTGGTAGATAGAAAATCCAGTATCAAAAGACCTGCTGGTATTACTTTACACAAAGATACAACTGACTTTGCAGAATTGCATGCATGGCAGTCAGCGGCCACGTTTCAGTTGATGCTCCTTTTTATTCAACTGCTCACTCAAGTCCATTCCTTCTCTTTTTGCCCCAGACTATCATTCCTGACAGGCACACGGTCGGGATCAGTATCAGTCATTTTCCTCCACAGCTCCGTCAAGAGATCAGTGTATTTCGAGTAGTACTCGATTGTGATTTCATTCGGTGGATTTAGGAATCCAGGAACATTATGGGCCATGGGAGACCTAAAAGCTGTCAGTATTTTGCAGATATTTAAGGTAATCGTCAACACTAATACCCAACCTCACGGATCCCACTGTACTGTATTTAAATGATGCTGAAACCTCAACATTTGGGATGCTAAATGCCAATTTAAATATGCAGATGATGCAATGATAAGCTGCTTGGATTTGGACATACATTTATCAAGAATGCAGTTAAACAAACTGCATCACCGTCACCTACCTGCCCTATTATGAAAAGCTCTAGGTGGAAGCTGTAACGCACATCACATGTTCTCAACTGAAAACAATCTTGGCGATATATAAGGATTGTATCTGTCATGCTCAACCCTGACACCAGAAAAACTTGATTTGCACATTACTGGCAGGGGAATGGGAATGGTGGAAACTTCTCAGTCATGGATGGTTACTTGGTTTTGCAAACACATAAATGTTATGATTCTGTCCTCAACTTTAAGTTCAGGAGAGTATGTTTTCATAGCTGTTTTCATAGCAGAGACGCTCTGCCAGTAGCAATCACTTTGCCACTCCTTTGCTGAAAATAAATAAAATGTTCTTTGTAAGCCTTTTTTGTATTTTTAATACTTGCATGTGTTTTCTGACATAGTATTTATAAGTACTATTTTCAAAATAAAGCTTTTGGTATCCCATTTGTCCTTTTGTGTTTGCATGTCCATCGATGACCATACTGGAACAGACTGTAAAGGAGCTACAGATCAGGTACCTCTGCATCATATGACAGAACAAATTCCACTTTACAGGCTGTCATAGCACATAGCAGCTTTATTTAGAAATTTGTTTACATTCTCATAAATTAGCTCAGATCTTTTGTATAACTCCTGATTCTCTCATATTGCACTACCACAAATTAAAGGGGGCTAAAGATATTTAAGACTTATATTTCCTCTTATAAATGAAGAATAAATCATGAGGGAAAACATAAATAAAAGGCCTGTAGAACTTCAACTGACCACACAAAGTGGAGTCTGAAATCTGCCGACAACCGTAAGAGCTAAAAAATAAATTTACAAAATATCTTTCCACTTTTCATCAAACGGATTGTTTTTCTTTTTTATAAACTGAGGGCTCATAGTCTCCATTTTGTAATGAGTAATGTGTTAATAGTGTGTTAGGTAGGTGAGGAGCTCTGGAAGATGACATTCTTAGAACAATCCATCTGAAACTGGTGTAATCACAGTTGTTAATGTGTTTTAGGAGATACTGATGTACTTCCCCACTTTATAGTGGATCAGCACTGGCAGAGCCTGGTCTTTGCTACGCCACAATTTAGGTTTCTATTTTTAACAGGGGAATACAACATCTACTGATTCGATACTTGAACTGTAAACAGATTCAGACCCCTCCTCTAGACTAGAAGGAGTGGTTTCTGACCTGAAATGCCATGGTACACTTGATGGATAATCACCCATGTAGTGAAAGTGTTAACTAACAAGACAGGAGACAGATAGGCACTATGGTCACTAAGCTTTCCTCAGGCACAGGCAGCTGCTGAAATGTCACATCCAGCAAGCCTTCACGACCTGACCTCATTTACATAAAGAGGGGAAAACTGACTGACAAAATGCCAGGTGGGGAATTTGTTTTGTAAGTCTTTACTGTGTAAACCAGTAAACGGATGACATTTACAGCCTAGATCCATTTAGTCAGCTAAAATGTCATTTGTTTTGAAACTCAGGCTGATCTGAGGTACTTTTCAATTTGGCCCAAAAGTTTAGAAATGATGTAAAAGGAGGCTCCTCTGGCTTCGTTGCAAAATGATCTGTCTTCCAAAGTGCACACTTGTCCTTTACTGGGAGAATAAAGTCCTGTGCATGACACGAGTTCTTCATTTGATGCAAAGTAGAGAGGGCAGGGCAGGAGGATGAGAAATGCAGGCTAGCAGGGCTGGAACATCTCACGGCAGTGTGGCAAAGGTATTGTTGGCTTTGTTTGCGATGATGAATAAACAGCAGAACATGCAGCCACTTAAGCCTTCATCAGGGCGCCGACCACAGCGCGGGCATTGAGGCTGCGCAGGTCGTTGTAGGTCTGCCCTGTGCCCACAAACACAATGGGCTGGCCTGTGATGTACGTCATGGAGATGGCAGCACCAACCTGTGAAGGAGGAGTGTTATCAGCTTTCTGACTGCTAATAATTCATAATACGTGAAACAACTCCGGACGACTAATTAACAGCATCAAGAAATTATACAGAGGCCATGTCATAGGATTAAAATCAGATAGGAATATATTGGAAAACATTAAAATACCTTGTCGTCGATGGTGTCAAACTTAGTGAGAACAATTCCATCAATGAGCCGAGGCTTGTCAGACATTGAGTGGTCTGCCAGAGCCTGATTGAACTTCACCTAAGGACAATGGAAAGACAGATGAGTCATTCGGTGGAAACATGATTAGGACCGAGTTAATATGTACAGCACCAGCTTTCCATCTCACTATTTACAAAGTGTAGAGGAAGAGAAACCACACACATCTGCGTAATGGTTAACAGGACAGAAGATCACTGGAGCAACACTGACCCCTGCTGGAGAGTTTAATCGATAGCAATCCATTTTATCCTACAGCTTTCTCTGTTTTATTAGTTAGTGTCTGTTGATTAGCACAGGAGCCTCAGGTCTGTATACCAAACTAAAGCTGATTAAAAACCATAAATCCCTGCTCCAGTAAGCACTAAGTTCTAGCAGTCGATCACACAATTATGACACAAATGTTTCATTAGAATTCAGCTGTGAATATATGGATTTCTAGTTCCTTGAAAACGTCAATATCCATTCAAGTTACCAGTAAAACCAACTTACTCCTTAATGTCAGTCATCAGTTACATTTACTGTTAGTGCACAGTGTGTCTCAACAAAAAGTCTGGATTTGTCAGTGGCCTTACCAGCTGATCAACTGCCTCATTTCCAACCAAAGCCTCCCCAACAAACAGCACTAGGTCGGGCATGTTGACCGCGATAAGTTTGGCCAGGGCTGTCATTAGGGGGGCGTTGTCCTGCATACGCCCAGCAGTGTCGACCAGCACCACGTCAAAGGCCTGGTTGCGGGCTGGAGGGATGAAACGCAGAGGGCACTTATGTGACTTTTCCACATGGGTGATATTAATCATTAATGAAAATGAATAACATACTCAAAACTGAGAGAACCCTTTATCACAACAGAATTGAGGTGGCAATCAACAAGAAAACCACAGCTCTAAATTCTCCAGGTGAGCTAACTTCATGATTACAACAATCAGTTAATAATTAGTCAACTAAAAAGAAAGTATTTACCATAGGCAATGGCCTCCATGGCAATTCCAGCCGCATCCTTCCCATAGCCCTTCTCATAGAGCTGGACTACGGGGCGTCCTCCATGCTGCTCTGGTGGATGCAGAGAGTTCAGGCGGCGCTGATGAGTGCGGAGCTGCTCCACTGCCCCGGCACGAAATGTGTCACAGGCTGCGATCAGCACTGTGAAACCATTCTCTATCAGCCAGAAGGAGATCTGGACCAAGACAAAGAGAGATTTAGGTCAAATATACTCGGAAGTTACGGTCAACAACGTATGCCGCGTTTCGACCAAAAATGTATTTTCTTCAGGAACTAAAAGCTTCCTGTGGCCCATTGTTGTCTTTGTTTCCACCGTGGCCTAAAGTCCCGGGAAGATTATACAAAATTATTACTTGACATTAAATTATTAACAGCACTTTGAGGGCATAGCATGAACAAAAATACGGGACAAATTGCTTCCCGCTTTCATTCAATACAGGATGTAGCATTTTATTTTCAAATACGGGACGATCCCGTATTTTCTGTGACAGCTGTTGTGGTCCTTTATTTTTTCTGAAGTCCTTTTTCAGTTTTTTTTTTTTAAACCTTCTCCCAGACCTGTTTCGCAGTGTGTAAAATGTGTTCGCTCCCTCCCTGCGGACCTTTAAACATCGCAGGTGAAATAAAATGCAGTGAGTACTCAACCAGTCAGAAATGTTCAGCACTGCAGACCCCCACCCCCAAAAGTTCCTGAACCTTTGGAAAGTACTGACTGACCAGGTACCTTTTTGGGGGTTGATCAATTACCCCAGAAATAAATTTAGACCCTGGTTCTTGCGGACGAAATGCGCATGTTCCTCAAAAGGTTCCTGGTTCCTGAGGAAAGTTCCTGCGCTGGAAACACGGCCATACAGGAACAAGAAGGAAACTTCGAGAAAAACGGTCAATTTGGGGTACATGTCACTACCCTTTTAACTCCTCACCTTGGCCAGGTTGGTGGACTTTCCGACCCCATTGACACCACAAAATGTGATGACAAATGGCCTTCGCTGGCTCTGTGCCTCCATGACATCTCTCAGAATATCCACCCTTCGCTTGGGCTGCAGGATCTGCACCAATGAGTCCTGCAGGGCCTGCTTTACTGTTGAGGCCACAGCTATAAAAACACACACGCACACACAGAGCTGACAAGATCTGATGATGTGATACAGTCAAGTCCACATGGACCAGAATCTCAAAGGAAAGTTTCCAACATCTTGTGGAATCCATGCCAAAAAGAACTGAGGTTGTTGTTTTAGCAAAGGGAGGCCCTACTCAGTATTAGTATGGTATTTCTAATAAAGTAGTTGCTGAGTGTATGTTGTAATGTATGCACATGGTCTTGAAACACTCCCTGCTACCTTTAATATATCTGTGATGTTTTTAACTTGCAGTTCCACACTTTGAATCACATATGAAACTGAGGAGAGGATCATATTTTAATCCATTTACTGTGATAAGCATCCAGTCAACGGGAAATGCATTACTATAATGGCATTACTGTTCCCATCGTGCAGACTGAGCTCTCATAGAAGGACAAGTGAAGGCAGAGAAGAACACTTCACAAAATGAAAAATAATTTCACAAAGGGGATGAGGATCTTTAGTCTATTGTAGGTACATTAAATAAATGTGAAAAGTTACTTACTGGTGAATGTGCCCATGACTTTACCCTCCAGTTTTTTAGCTACAGAGTCACAGAGCTGGGAGGCAATGTCGGCTGCTACATTCTTTGCTATAGGACAATGAAGAAGAAGAATGAATAGCAGACAATTCACTCTCACATCTTGCAGAACAAAGACAGTGTGTAAGAGAGAAGCTGTGATATCATACTGATGAGGTGGTCCCTCATCTTCTCCAGCACTGACTCCATGTCCTCACGGGTCAGGCTCTTGGAGCCCACCAGGCCTTTCAGCATCCCAAACATGCCCCCAAAACTGCCACCCTTTTTCGAGCTGAGAAGAACACAGAAAACAAGGTACATGTTCACAGTGCAACTTACATTTAAGACATATTCATAAACATTATACTTTGACACTTTCTTACCTTGTCTTGCTCGTTTCACTGACAATCACTCTCTCATCTTCCTCCCCAATCTCCCCTTCCTCACTCGACTCATAGTCTACAGGCAGCAGGTCTCCCTCCATGGAGCTCACTTGCATCCCCTGAAACGCATCCAGGACATTAGGTAAGTGACTAATACAGATGTCTCTTAGGGGTGCAGTGGAGGGGAATGGGTACTTACTGGGTCATTTTGTGCCTCCAGGTGCTGTTCACCACCGTTGCTAGGCGAACAGTTGTCACCATTGTAGCTGTAGTCCAGGTCCTTGGTGCTGCTACCACCCATGTCCCAAACACGCATTTGTTTCTCCCTCGGTTTCTGAGGCTTTGGAGACTTCCTATGAGATGACAGCATATCAGAAGTAAGCAGTTGGAAATAAGCAGTCAGACATGCTTTACACTAGGAGACTGATAAAACCCATTAGTTATTCCAAAAAGAAGGGTGACTGTTTAAATGCATATTTCTAGTATTTCTGGTAGGCGCTGAAAAACTATTAAAGCAATGGATCTGACTATAATAAGGGCATGCAAAACCGCAAACAAATAATACTTGTATGTATGTAATTTGCATTCATTTTCAACATATCTGATCCTGCCTTTAATGTTCTTTAATGTGTATCTACTCTGTCAATGCTGTTGTTGTTAAGACAGTCAAAATATATCTCTACCATTGGCATATATTTTAAAATGTATAAATATCTTATCTCTTATCTTACCTAGGTTTTTCAGTAGTTGTCACCATGCGTTTGCGAAATAACTTTTCTTTGTTCTTCTCTATGACCTCCTCAGGAGTCAAGCCCTGGTTACCATTCTCAACCATCTTCTGTCCAGACGGTGTGGGCTTGCCTTGATCACCTTTGGCAGGCTCAGCTGCAGGAGCTAGAGAGGATTGGAGTATCACATCAAGTCAGGATTGAGATAAAAATTATGTTGTACTATCCATTTTTTGAAATAATATTAGAACAGTTACCACCAACTGCACATACCCTCCTTTTTGGTATTTTTATTCTTCTTGCCACCCTGCTCCTTGCTTTTGTCCCCACCCTTCGTCTCAATCATTGACTTCACAGTTTTTTGGGATTTCTCGGACTCCTTAAAGGACCGCATGGGAGCATGGCTCCGAGCTTTGCTGCTCTCCTCCGCCTCTCTTTTGGTAAACAGTTTGTATAACACAGGACAGATTTTAGTTAGTTAAGCATCTTTGCTTTTTTTTTTTTTTTTTTTTAAATAAACTCACAGCTTAATTGGTCTGTTTTTTGATATGGCCTACGAATTATGACAGCACTTGCACTGGAAAAACTGAGAAGAACATCCTAATTACCCTCAACAGCTGCTAAAGTAAAGAAGTACTAGTACTAGTATTACTAGCAATGACTGGTTCAATCAGGAGTAAAATACACCTTTTGATCCTTCATTGCTGACACAAAATATTATGGCTAAAGTTCTTCAATACATGAAATCACCCATCTGCGGTGAAACTCTCCATCTTTACCTAAGAAGCATCTTGAAGATGTCCTCAAATTCAAAGTTGTTGTTGAGGAGCTTCAAAGCTCCCTTTTGCTCCAGCTCATTCTTATAACGATCCCTAAAATGAAGCTGAACATCATCTATGAACTTGTCCACATATGTCAGCGTCAGGATCTTTTGAAAACCCACCTGGAATGTGAAGGAGAGAAAAGAAAAGAGTAGTGATTATTACTAAAAAAAAAAAAAAACTAAAGCAATAAACACATGAATCTTTTGTCACAGATTTGCAGTCCACATCTCAAACATGTTTCATTTTAAGTTATTTATTGTGTAGTTAAAGAGACTTACCACAAAAATTAGCTCAAACTCATTATCGAGCTTGTATTTAAGACTCAGGGCCTCATGAGTGAATGAATTGTTCCCACTTCGCTCCTGTAACAACATCACACAACGAACAGATCGTTGATATGTCAACAGGAGCTGAACACACATGTCGTAGCTGCTACAGCTAGCTTCCTGTGTCAACCTAACAATGTTAAAAACACAAAACTACTAAAAATCTAAATCCAAAATCATAATAAGATGATCTTTAGTCTATTCGCACAAAAACAGTCGCATGTTTGGTATACTAACGGTTACGCAATAAGCTAACATTTGCTACCTATTAGCTGTTAGCTGTCCGAAGCATACTGAGATTTAGATAAACACAGGCATCTGTCACAGGAGCTTGATTCGTTATGTCTCACCTGAAGGATCACGGAGCGGATCAAAGCGTTGACAGGCCCCGTGAAGGATTCAGTGACCCCGGCTCCCTGAAAACACCACAACACTATCCCCCCTTTGCTGAAGATGGTGAAGAAATCTAGCATCTTGCCACCACGTATCTGGATTAAAAACACATACAAGGGGTTGGGAAATAAAAAAAGTGAAACGAAAGCCCTGTGATGGATGAATTGTCCTGTAAACGTCTAAAGCTCTAGTGCCAATTCTTCAAAAAAAATTCAGTCTTACCAGATAATACTTCAAAAGATGATAAAATCCACCACCAGTGTAAAACTGTTTTAGACACGTCAGATGCACAGCCAGGAAGTGACACTTACTTCCGTCGCCCCCCCTCCTCAAATTTCGCGCATGCGCAGTTTGATTGTAAACCATGTGTCGTTTCGTATGAGAGCGTTTTGAACTTATTCATTCTTTAAAAATGTTATTTGCATTAGTCAAGTCTACTGAATAAAATTAAATAAGTAGGTCATACACTAACCACTCAATTACGGCACAAATCTTTAGTAAGTATTTCCATTTCCAAGCTTTCTTCTATTCCACTGCATTTCACTGAGGAATAGACTTCACATACAAAAATATGATCAATTTACAAAGATTGATGCATAGATTAAACCAGGGGCAGAGCCAGACATTGTAAACGTTGGGGGCTTAGCCCCAACTTAAGTATATATTCCGGTGACATGCTCCCCCGGGGAATTTGTTCCCCATTCACACCAGCTACATGCACTGTTTACTGTATCAAATCATTTGTACATTATTTGGGGGAAAAAATCATCCAGAGCCTGCATCATATTTTGAATCTAATTGTGCTCTGTCTCCATCACTCTGAAACTACAACACAACAAATTTTGACAAATTTTCACTACTGCCACATGAAAGGAGGCAAAATTGTCTGATGTTAGTATTTTGGATTTACGTGACTTAGGTGCGGAATGAATTTGACATAAACAGCATCACTAATCTTGAAACCTATTTTTGTTACACTATGCTGGAGTAGAGTTCACAGATTTAAAGTTTAGATGATGAATCTACATTTAAATCCAGACCATAATAATATATGCTGCTCTAACTGAGCAGACATGGATCCACAACAAGACCAAGTAAATATCTTTACTTCTCTGAACTGAATATTAGGCCAGATAGAATATAACAGAAGAACATTTACTGTAGTGATACTCAATTTCTCAAGGAATAGCATCATAGGATAAACAACATGGACATGTACTGTAATATTACTGTGCAGTATTTTATTTGATCTATTCTGGATCACTCTGTTCTCATGTCCTCCTCTTTTCTTCTTCGTTCACTCTCGCAGCTCCACTCCACAATGTCTTCCACTCAAAGAAAATATAAAACAAAAAGAGTTTTAATATTTCTGATCATAAACTGAAGATGTAAAAACATTAAATGCACATGTACATTGTAAATAAACCACATTTCATACCCATCCAAACTGTTGAGAGATACAAATGATACTGAGACATATCGATCCCATAACATATATTTTCACATCTCATTTCCTCTAATAATACTAATAGGGCTCCATTGATTTGCCGTTCCTGTCAGAGAGACTAAATGACACCAAGTTGAAGTTACATTATAAACTTAATACAAGATTCAGGGTTTTGGGATAACATCCAGGGCTGTAGTCCAATAAACAGCACCTCCCACTCTGCCTATGGATTAAACTACAACAGTAGGCTATATAAACTCCAGTACATCAGTAATAATAATCTGTATCTGTATCTGTATCTGTATCTGTATGTAACAATAGTGACCTTTTTTATTTGTATTGAGTACTTATATTTTAGAAATCATCAAGTACATTTTGGTCATTTTACTTTTAAAGCATTTTCAACATAGAAATTCTGTTTGTAATGGCACATTTTTATATTGTTGTATATTTGTACTAAAGTACAAGATCTGGTAATTTCTCCACCACAGCCATAAGTTTCCATTCAGTCCCCCCCCACCCCCACACACACACACACAGTTTTTTCTTGTTTCATTTGTTATTCATTTTCTTAATTTCCCCTGTATGACATAAATAAAGTTTATCTTATAGATATTATTTATAACGGTAGAAAACCTCCAACTGTGCGTACAATCGAATGTCTGTTATTACTTCTTTTATAATAGAAATTCATCATCCAGATCAGAAAGTAGTCTTACTGAAGGCTTTGAGTTACACTAGCTTTTGACACAGGGTACAGTGACTACCTGCTCAGTGAGGTGTGATGTTCAACACACTTTGTATTTCAAATTTGACTATACATGTTGAGTTCAACTACTTCCTCTTTTTCCTGGTGATGTCAGTGACACTCGACAAAGTTCTCACTTCGTCTTTGTTACGTTCAGTTACAGTCTTTAGGTCATGGCACAGTGTTGCAGCAGTTTAGGATTCAGTTACCATACAGCCATAAATTAGTCTATTTACTATTATTTACCAGACGGATTTTTGAAAGGAGTTGAACAGACATGACAATCTTAACATGCATGGTAAGTTAAGGTTTCATGTCTCTGTTTCTAACATAAACCTTATCTTTCTCTGTTTGAATACTTTTTTTTGTGTTTTATCTGTAACTAATATAAATCCTCACTCTTTCACTTGAGCTTTGAGAATTCAGAAAAGCATTACACTGCTGTGGAGTAAATGCAAATAGTTAACACAGATTGATGATTGTGCTGTATGTGTTAATGCTTATGATTCCATTTGTGGTTTACAGCTGGACTTGGAAGGATTCATAGATATCAAAATGTATAATCAATCCATATATATGTCTACAATTTGTCTTTCTCATTTCAGGTTGGTTCCAGAAACTCTTGAAATCAAGTGCATCTTCATCATCACAACATGAACAAAAACCTAAAGTGACAAGTGTACCGACATCACCTTCATTTACATCATCTTCTTCATCATCTTCATCACCAAAGACAGGCCCTTCCAGACCACAAAAGCCACCGTCAGCTTTGAGCTCACAGCTGAGATGGAGACGGAAATATGACTTGCTTGTGTGCCACAGCCATGCCGACAGCGACATTGAAGAGGCTAAACGCCTGGTCTCTTTCCTGGAGGCTTCACCCCGCTGCCTGAGGTGCTTTCTGTGGCAGAGGGACGTCGCTGTAGGAGGGGCAGTGTTCACAGAATTTTGCCAGGCTGTGCAGGAGAGCCACCTGCAGGCTCTGCTTATCACTCCTAACTTCCTGCAGGAAGATTGGTGCAAGTATATGATGCACCAGGCTCTGGCGGAGGGGCCTATGTCCAATCGGCTGATTCCCCTGATACAGAACCTTCCCCACTCTCAGTACCCCCAGGAACTGAAGTTCTACATCTACATTAACCTGAGCACGAACACTGACAGAGGTTATAGTCTCATCAACAGGACTGTGCTCAAGTGTGAGTAATGGGAAAATAAATGATATTTGCTGGTCCGGCTCTATTCACAATCTTACAGTCATGATAATATTGTTGTTTTTTCTCCTGATACTTGTCATATTAGAATTTTTGGTTCTTGTCATCTACAGCAAAAGCAGGCCATATGGAGGAGAATCCAGTGGTAAATATTATCATCTTGTTTTATTCCCCAGACCTGGAAGACCTGGTTAAAAATGAGAAGGCCCATGACTGCAGTGTGGACAGCTCTAGCAAGGGTGGAGAGGGCAGCTCACGAGAAGACGAGCTGGTCCCAAACAATGACTCCAATTCCGCTGGAAGTGATGCACAAGAAAGATGAACACGTTAATGACATTTGCTGTGATAATACTCAACCGAAATGAAAGAACATAATGAAGGACAAGAAGCTCAGAGTGGAAAAAACATTGTCGCTATTGGATGGACTCAACTTTTTAGTCATGTTTTTGTCACATCGTGTTGTGCTTAAAAGGAAAGTTACACTACAGTGTCATTGCTTAGACTTTTCCTCTTTTTCTCTTCTGGTTTAAGGATGTTCATGCAGTAACCCGGAAATATTTTATTCCAAGCAACACAGGGTTTATTTCCAGTATCAGATCTAGAGAAGTACAGTGTGTGCTGAAGTAGTTTGCAATTGCAAACTGCTGTTAATCAGCACATATTGTGGGAATTTATGGTTATGGTCTTGTAGCTTGTAAACAGTATTGAAGCCTATAATTTAAATTTAGAATAAAGGGAACTAATGCACCATAATCCTCTTTTTAAAAGAATGAAAAAATAACAGTGAGCTGTAATAGAAAAAAAATATTTTGATACAGATAGTGTTTCCCACTAGGTGGTGTATTTTCCTGTACAATCCATTTGAGAGTGCCAGAGAGGAGATGCCTGTCATGGAGGTATCACCTCATTAACTCTACTTCTCTTGCCTCTTTGTCTGTGTGTGTGAGAGACCGAAAGAGAGCGAGATAGTGAGACTAAAGGGAAATACCCACCCATAACAAACTGGTGATTGTGACGTGACCTGAACTGAGCTGGACTGTAAGTAACAATGGAGTGAATCTAACAAGACAAGACACAACTTTGTGTCTTTCTTAAACATAGAGGGATATCAGAGTGATGGCTCTGGTCTGCTGTTATTAATATTTCTGTCTGAGTTGTCTAAGCTCAACTAGTTGGAACAAAGTCTGAACATGTTGAAGAATTGGAAGGAACAGCCTTTCTCCTCCATCCAAAGAATCCAAAGAATAAACTTTCAGTTTTCTGGTTTTCTGTAAGGTATGATTTAATGTCCTTGGCAGTGCTTTAGCCTGTTAATCAAGCATGCTGCCAGTGCTTCATTTCTGTCAGTTGACATTTGGACCACTCAATGTAGAATATCAGGTATTCATTGAGTCAACTGGAGCATAACATTTGTGATACTATAGTCTTATTTTTTTTTTTTTTTTTTGACACAAGCAAGGTTTTTTTTCCTTTTTACGTGAGGCACCATCTGCCTCCAAGAAGTGCTGCATGTTCTCTCTTTCTGACTTTTATTAATGCTGTATCATCCTCCCATTTTCCCCATCCCCCTAAACAACAGCAGACATTTAGGACCACAATAAAAGACCCTTGATAATCGCCTCTTTTGTGGCAAGCCAACATTGTAACAGAAAAATTCAGACTAATCTCTGAGAGGCACAGATGTTCTACGAGGCTTTATTTTTACCATAACAAATCCTCCTCTGACACACACAGAGTGGGATATCTAAACGCTTACTGACTTCATGGAAAAGCAGTTGTTGATAAGTGTATCAACATTAATATACAGAGTAGCTATAATTCATTCTCAGGTGAGAAGGTCACAATCGGTAGTTATTGAAATGTTTACAGTTGGACAAAACAGGACAGGGTTCACTGTACAGAAGTGTTCATTTCATTGATAAAAATTGGGATGAAATATATTTGTGAACAACCTTATTTTCTGTTATGAGGCTAAACTCTTACTCTATCTCCATATAACACTGTTGACAAAAAAGAGGAGACTGATATGGAATTTAAACTAAAAACTAACTGAATCTCTCTTTATTTTGAAGAGGACACAAAATTGTATAATAATTTTCCAAACAATCACATGATCACAAATCTTTTATCATTGGACATGGATTTTATAGCTGTATGTGAGAAGTGCTGGAAGGTGGGTTTGAGCCAGGCTAGCTGTTTCCGACTGTTTCCAGTGTTCATGCTGAGCTAAGCTAACAAGCTTCTGGTTGTAGCTTCATATTTATCACAAGGACATGAGCGTGTTATGGATCTTGTCATATAACTCTTGGCAAGAACATGAATAAGCGTATTTTCTAAAATGTTTAACTATTCCTTAAAGTTACATAAGTCAACCCCAAAAGACAGCCAGTGTTGTAGTGTCTAACCATGTGCTTACATATGGAGGTTTAGCCTAGTTTAGAAGTCAATATCCATGACCACCTATAACCAAGACAAATGTGTTGAAGTGTTTAACTTGTCATTCACACTACAGAAAGAATAATATCAATGCAACACACATTTGATAGTCAGGTCCAGTTGATTTTGAAGGGTCCATGTAAATGTAAATTAAATGCAAATGCACAGCATTTTACTATACACTCTACTTTTCTATGTTTAAGTCATCTGGGCAGTAGCCAGAGGTCTTAGCTTCCAGAGATGTTCCAAAAATGTTATTTTAAAAATTAAAGTAAATAGTTGTGTACAAACTATTATTAAAACAGTCTTGTGCAATGCTACGAAAGTCATTTTCTGGCTGGTTTTCATTACCAGTTTTTAGTTAGCCTAGAATCAATTGGATGAAGACTAAATATTTCACAAAGTGTTTGTCAAATAATCTATGTAATATGTTATTTTTTAAGTAAATCAAGACTCAAATGTTGTGTGTTTCCAGTGATTCAAGCTAGACTAAAATGTTGCTAATTTTCTATGACTAAGACGAGACTTAAATAACAAACAACAAAAAGTAAAAAGGATGGAGGTGACTAAATATGACTAAAACACTACACTTTCAGGATTAGGACTAAAACTTAATCCAAAACTAGATGACAAAATTCATAGTTCAGTCTTGGAAAGCCCCTGATATGTGTGTCAGCATTTCAGCACTTTCATCATGAAGCAAGAGTTGAAAGAAAGGAGAAGTGGAGGCCTCAGGATGGCAAGCTGGTCTGCTGTGGACCACCAACAGTATGGAAAAGCACTTAGCTGTTAGTCACCATGGTGGTCTCTCCTGGGTGCGGTGGTACTGACCTGGACATCTCTGTCTGCGGTGAGTAAATTCAGCTTGCCGTGCTACAGTGAAGCACCAGCTGGGTTAATTAAAGGCGAGCAGGAGATCCAAACATGATATTGGGTTGAGTAGTGAATGCAGGCCAAACAGTGATATGAGACATGAGAAGGCTGTACGTCAAATGCAAGAGCATAATTTTACACGCAAAATGTAAGATGAGTTTTAAACCCAGGTACGTGCATTTTAAACAGTTTTCCAAATTTTGTTCATGTATTACCTGACTGCATCGGACAAATTGTGCTGTTATCGGTAAGTTACATTCAAAACGCCATGATGCATATGATATACACACATGTACAGTATATATGACACACACACACACACACACACACATATATATATATATCATCTGAAAAACAAACAAAAGCCCCTCTTTCACCCTCTTTCATATATTCTCTGCATTTGGTGCAGAGAACAGTATGGACAGTACCCACTGCTGAGACAGGCATGAATCTTTAAACTTGAAAATGAAATGCTGCAGTATGGATCATAGTATTTCTAAAGGCGCGATGCACCTTTCAAGCTCTCTCAGCTTATTTACAGACCCTGAGGCTGTCCTTGGTCCAGAGCCAGCAAACATTTGTTCTGTGTGTATCTTCAGGTTTACATTTGGGCAAAACATTTTTGTTGCCAGCAGATACATTAGTGGAGATATTTATATAGTGGTTATTCCGAATCTAACAGAGGATGTGTGTAAAAAAATCCAAAGTTATGGTAAATACATTGTATTCTCCAGTAAATGTATTTTCAATGTGCAGCATAGGCCTGGTAGAAGCTGACATTGATCTTGTCCCTGCTTTGAGTTTGTTATCTCTTTAACAAACAGAAATTTACAAAATCACAGCCAACAGCAACAAGACTGTCCAGATGTTGGTCCCTTTGGGAGAAACATGCAGTCAGAATGAGGCGAGATGGGGCAGATCATCACAACTCATCAGAAGATCAATGACATGGAAAAGTGCATTAACCCGTGTATTTCAACACCAGCACCATCACTTTTAGCCCAGAGGCAGGTTACATTTATGCAGCCATGGTATTTGGATGTGTCTTGATCTGCCTGGTTTTAGGTTCATTAGGGTTCACTTTAATACACAAATCACATTATTGCTTCCCTGTGATCACCTACACAAACACTTGCCTGTCTTATACAAAAGGTGCTCCCTAAACGAACAACCATACTTCAACCAGTTCTAAATGTAGGTTACTTATCATACTTAAGAGTCTGCAAATGTTACCTTAGGAATCATTGTTCTACATGTGACTCTTCTCTTCCTAACACAACATATTATTTCCCAGACACAGATGTGGCTTATTATAGACAAAACAAAACTGCAGGAGTGGGTGATAAAGCTTGTGGGCAACAAGTTTTCAGTGTGAGAGGAACAACTGTTCAACTGCCTGGGAAATTTTGAAATATTTATTTAAACAATGCATTGATTTATACACACCATTTCTCAACATTTGCCAAAAGTATCCATATACAAGTTATTACCCTCACTAGTAAGTCACATTGCATAAAAGTGTCTGCCCACTTTATAAATGTAATGTAATGTAATATGTTAAGCAAGTAATAAACATATATTCTTAGATGATATTTAACAAGAGTTCTCAGAACATGACCTTAGATGACTAAAAGTTAAATAAAAGCTCAGGTTGATGATTGTGTCATTTGTGTCAAGCTTAATTCCAGAAATCCATGTACCTGACAGCTTTACATATTCCAATTATGAATACAACATATAACCGACAAATAAATGATGATGTATTGTTATAGATAAAGATATCCAAAAGTATAGAAAGTTGTAAATTATTCCCAACTTTACCAGCTGCAACTTTAAAGTAGGCTATTTTCAAACTTTGGTATTGCTACCTTTACTTAGGCCTCAGTAAAAGATCTGAGTACCTCTTCCATCAATGTGTTTCGCAATGTATGTTCATTTCAGCGCTTAAAAAAAAATCACAGTCAACAGCAAAACTTTCCAGATGTTGTTTCCTCTGGGGTAGAAAAAAAACAAAAACAGTTTGAAGCAGACTGAACACGCATAGGGCAAATAATTCTAATAAGCTCGAGATCACATGGGACATTCCGATAACCTGCCTTCTTTCCACCATACCACCACCAGCACCATCTAGTTTCGGCTTGTACATTTTTACAGCTATGGTATTTGGATCACTTCAGTCCAGCCAGCGGCCAATGCGCGTACCCACATGCGCATGCGTGTCTGCGTTGAGAGAAAAAGGGAACGCGCTGTAACAGTCAGAAAGCGAAGCTGCCTCAGGACTTGATGCCATTCACACCAACACTACCCTGTGCTCTGCGTGTACGCTTTTTTTTTTGTTTTCGCTACATGGTTCAGGCTTGTGAACTTTGAGGTTGTCATTACATTACTGCTTTTATTCTGTGCCTGCTCGCCTCGGACAGAACCGAATTTGTCGTTTTCCCACGCAGTGAATGTCACCAAAAGCAACGTGAACTTGGCTGAAACATCATTGTACAGTACAACAGGCTCGTTCCACGGATTAAACCTCATCTGTCCGGCAGCACTGCTGGTAAGTAAGACTGTTAAAACCGCTTTGGAGTTAACAGAGCAGCCTGTGTGCACGAGGAGTTTTGTACATGCTTGCAGGGAGGCATAAAACAACACTGATCATTTGCAGCCTAACTGGCCTCACTGGATCACAAGATGCCAAATTTAATTTGGCTTGCACGAGTCTTGATCTGAACATGCGTATCAGTGTGATATAGAGATGGAAAAGACTCATGTTTGTAAAGGATAATGATATATAGACTATTCCTCACTTTATTCAACCACAGACAGTTATTATGTTTCCTGTCATCAGTGGTATTGAATGTAACTTGAAGTGTAATTTAAGTTACAGCCTGGCAGTAAACCATGGTCTCTTGGTTTTAAAAGCCATTTCTCAGCAACTCTAATAATCAGGGAATGGCACACAGGGGGATATATTTGGCCAGTGCTGATATTTTGGGGCTGAGGGGGCTGGCTTGGCACTGTTCCATTGTTATCATTAGTAACATGTCACCAAGGAACAAGATGTATTTATATTTATTTTTTAATTTATTATTTTTTTTATTTTTTGCTTGCTTATTGCTGCAAACCCAGCTGTGTTTTTTCACTCGCTAAAACACTGCTTCATACTACTTTAAATTATTATTGTCTTTATTAGTAACCCTTGATGTTGCATTTCATGAGGCACTGTAATATTATTTTTACATGGCAACTTGAAGCTCACTGACCATGTTTTGCCCTGTGCAGTATTGATTCTGCTGTGAGGCACGTCCTTGAATCAGTCAATCAGTCACAATCTGGGTGACAAATGTCATATCCGTGTTGATCATGCCGTCTGAACATTCATTGTAGGCAAATTCAGCTAAACTTGTAGACTGATCTGTGAACATTATACTAGTCAGTGAAAATCTTTTCATCTAAGAGATCTAAGAGACATTAACCTGAAGAAGACCTGAGACTGCTCCAAAGGAAAAGATAAATTGCAATAAATAAATAAATAAAAAGCCTGAGCCCTCAGCCTAGTAAACATGATGATATCCTTGTTCCTATTTGGCCCTGTGCCCATGGTCTTCACAGCTGGAACAGGACAGAGTACATATGCAGCGTAGAAAAGCATATCTTGGTAGTAATTGTCTGAGGTGTGTCTGGAGGCAGGACTTCTGGGTAATTAGCTGCATTGACATATGTCATCACAGCATACGGTGCAGAAATTCAGCTGAATTCATACTGTCCTGACTGGGCACAGAAGTTTTGACTCCTGATGTTTCAAAAGGTTTATTTTATACAGTCACTTGGGAGACTATTTATTGATTACTGATCAGTTACATCATTACATTTCCCTTATGGATTCATTAAGTCTTGTTTGTGTGGGTACTGTTGAATTTTAGTTTGGTTGGCACAATTCTTGATTATAAATGTATGTCAGATAGATAGATAGATAGATAGATGGATAGATTTATAGATAGATGGATAAACAGATATTGAATTTATCTCTTTAGATCTCAGAGTATTGTAACAAGTCACTGTAGCAGCAGCTACATAAGAGAGGATGATTTATCCACAGATGTTGCATTTAATGAGGCTTAGAGATATTTAGCTCATGGCAACTTGCAGCAAATCAGCTAAAACACCATGATATGCCCTCTGCAGTAATGACTCACTTCTGCTTGAATGAATCAACATGGCCTGAAAAACATGATGAACACACATCTGCCCTCAAAACATCAGGGCAAATGTAATCATACTCATGGTGCACTGGTGTCTCCAGTGAAAGCCTATAGGCCCTTGAGTCCTTGAGCAGGGTTTTCAGAGATGTATCGAATTAAAAAGATATACTTGTTGGGCTTAGTGAAATGTACCCCAATGAGAGGACAGAATTTGCAAAGTGAAATGACAAGGGCCACTAACAAGGCCCTCCAAAGCATTACCTAACCTCAAGATTTTGTAGAAGGGTCCTTTGTGAAAAATTAATTTAAATAACTCGTTTACGTTTATAATGTGTGCACTTGGCATACATGTAGTCTTTTTAATGCCAAAGAATGGCTATTCAAATCAGAAGTTTCTCATCTCCATTTATGTTGGGTTCCCAGGTTGAATAAGAATCAAAAAAGACTCAAAAGAGTTTTTTGACATTAAAGAGTAACAGAAGCTTCTGCTTTAGATAAATTCCATTAAATACTGAATTTATTTCATTATTTTTTTATTAATTTTCACATCTCATGTTTTGGACCTTTTACCGCACACTACAACACTAAAAGACAAATGATTCTTGCTGTTAGAGCGCCCGCCCTCCAGAGGGAATCTAGTCACTTACTTCTTTATACAAGCCTCTTACTTAGCAACCATGTTAACAAGGAAAGTTAGATTCTTCTTTATCTATTATTATCTATTATTTATAGCATAGGCGTTTTTCTTACTGCACCTTGTCATTGTGATAAGATGCCTTCTTCCTTGTTCTTGTGCTGCAGACATGATGCAATCCAAATTCAGTGTTCAGCATTTGAAAACCAATTGCATCACAGTAGCGCGACTAGGCGGTCCCATTTTAAAGGTTCCTTCAAATGCGGCCAAGAAATGTGGCGCGCTTTTCCTAGGATACATAGCCTCCAACTGGTGGATCCTTTGTGGCCCAAACTATCCCAAGATTCACTGCGCACCAGTAATGAAAATAATATGGCAGCAAACAATGTAAGTATTGATTTTCAGCTAAGTTGAACAGCTAGAGATACAACTTTTAAAATACCAAGGGCCTTAAAAAGTTATGTGTTGTCAAGGTTGCAAGGCAACAGGAGCAGCACTTTGTGACACAACTGTAAGGTTGTGTACGCCTGGTGATGCAAAGTGCAAATCCTCTGTATGCCAGAATGTCTCATTTTGGTTCGGCCTTTGTGGTCTATGACAAAAACAAAGGCCACTCCTTCATAGACTGTGTTCTCCGAAGGGTACGGCCCCTGAATGGTGAAACAAATGTGTCATTAATTCCAGAAATTACATTTCCAAAGAAATGTAATCTTGGTTTAGTATGTTAGTGTGGCAACAATCTATGATGTCCATCTGGAAATTGATCTTTCTCTTCCATAGACCTGAACTGAAGAATTAAGAGCAGATTCATTTCTAAATGAGTCATTAAGACAAACCTACTGAGTCACCAAAGACTATGAATATACAGTTAGTTTTACAACCATAAAACTACAGGGAAAAGGTTACAGATTATACTCTTGTTGTAATACCAAATTGATACCATGTCAGTTTTTATTTTAAATGTTATTTATTTCATCTCATTTCTCCAGTGTAATATCTACCATATTTGCAAATATCTCAAAACATATAATAAGACCCACAATTCATTTGATTTTAACATCAAAAAGAGTACCGTGTCGCTATCTCTATAAACACCTGACTGCTAGAAGAACATATGCTGCTGCTTTAGAAAAGCTTGACTCTGAAAGATGTTGGAAGATGTAATTTGGTGTGTCGACATGTAGTCTTGCAAACAAGCAAACCATTTTTTGTATAGCCTTGATGCAGTACAAGGAGATGGATGTTGTGAAACATGATTGTTTCCCTATTTCCATGGCAATCATCTGTCTTGAGCAATGGGACAGCCCTGATTCTATACTCCAAATATTATAATACAGTATAATCATCATTTGGTTGACTTTTTATGTCTGTATAGAAATACTGTAAATTGTAGTTGTGACGCAAATTAACATTACAAACTTTTCTGAAATTCTAAACTCCAATGGACATCTGAACACATTTCCAAACAATAAAGAAGAAACAAGCAAAGACATACAGTATTTCAATAGCATAATGGAAAATGGATGACAGAGAGCACAGGATGGGTGGAGAACAAGAAACAGCAATCAGTTATGAGGCAATTATAATGAGTTACAGCAAAGGTGATGCAACAAAACCAACCTTTTTTGTCTAATGTACCCCATGATTCATAGACACAACCTATTAAGTTCCAAATGTGTTCATTCAAACTGTATGTCATTTAATACTATTGATAATATAAGAGTGGACATTGCTAACAATGTATTTTCTATAAAGGGGATTTGTTAATGTTTAGGTCAGAGTGGTAGAAGCTTGACTTTTCACCCATTTATTCATTTGTTTTTAGCTGTCTAACTATATTTGTTGCTTTTAGCTGTCTAATTCAACCATACACTACTTAGCTATGTGTTAACTTTTTATCCATTATTTTTAGCTAATTTATCCCAGCTGATAGTTTCAATCGTTTCTTCATTATGTTAATTATTTGAACTTTTTTATTATTGCTTTTAGCTACCTACTACTATTTCAACCATTTACCCATACATTTCACTTTTCTCTTTTTCTTTCCTTTTCCATTTTCATAATTATTTAAGCTGAAATTCAACCATTTACCTACTCTTAGCCAACTATGACAAGCATTTATGCAACTATTTGAACTTTAATTGATTACTTTTAATTATCTGCTACTACTACTACTACTACTACTACTACTACAACTACTACTAGCCAGTACTGTATAGCCTATATGTTTAGCTAACTGTTTTCCTGCTCGCTTGCTAACTACACCAAGTACAGTGGCAACACATAATTTTCAGGTGTTAACTGAGTCACTATGTTTTCATTAATCAAGTCATTTTTATTTAATTAAGTGAGCATTTCCATGTACCCACTGGCAACTGCAGAAGTACCCCCGGGGGTACAAGTACTCCTGGTTTGGAATCACTGTTAGAGCATGCATGGTCTGTGTCTATGGAATTGTTTAGAGATATAAAAGCTTTCAGAGTGGAAAACTAGTGCGTGGAAAACTTCGGAAATCTCCGAATGTGGAAATTGACAAAGAGGATACTGGAGAAAAAAACCACATCCCAGAACTAAAATTGCCCTCACCATGACCGCCACAGAAAACCCTGCAGGGAATCTCCACATCTCATCTAATGTACATTCTACATAATTGTGGCTCCCTTGAAGGTGCCTTTTCACATGAACATGCTTTTAGGAACCAAAAATGGTTGATAATAGACTGCAATTTCTTTGAAAGCTTTTCCTCATAAAAGTGGTCAAAATGTTACAAATGGGCACTAGATTTAGCTCTTCTGACTGGATTAAATTCTGGGATTATATGTTTTAGAGGTGATTTTCTATTGTGAGCATAAAGCACATGTGATTTTTCTTTGTCTGTGGTTGAGAGAAATCAGCTGGTAGGTGAAAGAGATTTAGAGAAGGTCATTTCCATTCAGAATCAAACCAATAAATCTCCTAATAAATCTGTTTGACCTTGTATTCTGTGTTCAGAGATTATTTACGGTACAATGACATGTTGTCATGGTGGCGTTGGTGTGTGTGTGTGTGTGTGTGTCATGATATATTCCCACAATAACTCAAAATGAGTACAAACTTCATACATTGATCTGTGATATTGATTATTGTGAATCATCAATTCACAATCATCTGAAACCTACTATGACACAATAATACCTTAAATACAGAACTCATATTAATACCTCTCAAATGTGTTGACATAAATATGTATCTGTAATAATTAGGTTGATTAATGACAGCATTTGTGTAAGTTTCTGTTAGTGCTAGTTACCGACAGTATTAGCCCTCTCCGCCATCACCTTCCATAAGAATTCAGAAGTATGGAGCTTTAAATAGTAAATTACTGACAACACTTTCCCATGGAGTGCTTTTGCCGGAATTGCTTCCAGTGTGCTATTCCGTGGTAGCTGCCTGACTCATCTTTAATCACTACAGTGTGTGACTAAGCTCTTTAAGTGGTCTGTCTGCATTTCTTTCATGATCCACGCTTAGACCTGCAGCAGTGCTTTAGGAACATCTGTGGTCAAGGACACTTCTTACAGTATTAAAATCTTACTCTGCTGTTACTCCATTGGTCCCTCACATCTTGAAGACTTTTGCCAGTGTCACTTAGCTGGACAGCGTGCCTCACGGTATTGCACAGTGCAGTGCCTGACCCTCCCCCTGCTCTCCCAGCCAAACCTCCCTCCCCTCTGTTCCCCACAAACTGTATCACACACAGTCAGCCATTGTGCTGCTCTGCTCTTATGTTGCCTGTGGTGTCTGTGAGGAGGTCCTGTGCTTTCTGTGTCTTCTGTGCTTCACACTCCTGGGAGCAACAGTATGTCCAGCTGTTGTTGCTCTCTCAATTATGGCCCTAAAGTGAAAGGGTGTTGATGGGAATATAGAGCTACAGTATATGCTGGGCTGGATCTAATGATCATTTTAGTAACTGATTAAGTTATTTAGCCTACAAAATGATAGAATTCAAGGCAGTATAGCATCTTATAATTGTTTGTTTTTTTATAACCAACAGTCTAAAATCATTTTATGGTGATGTAAAACTGGGAACTGAACAGCTTAGGACCAGCTAGGGTGTGGCATTATTCATATTGAATTACTCAAAATTGTTTCATCTTTTGCCAATTAATGAATCTATAAAATCATATTGGTATGAGCTGTAGCATATGCTATTAAATGAAGACCGGAACATGACTGGCCTGAATCCAAGACAATATCTGAAGAGGGCATTTTTGTATTTTTATGTATTTTGATAATGCATCTGTAGTTGTGCTTCATTCATCCCAGAATCCTCATTACAAAATGTGTTTCCTTTATACAAAACTCTCTGCTTTGCATGTTTCCTTGCTATGAATGACATTCTGGTCAGAGCTGCACTTTTATTTTATTTCCCTTATTAAGTGCAGAGAGGAGTAGAAAATAAAGACTAACAAGTCCACTGTGCAGATATTCTCCAGTTGTCTTCCTTTGTACAGTATGATTATTTGTTTTTTTCACTGCAGGGAGAAGCCCAGACCCATTACATCAGAACCACTGAGAACACAGTCTTTTGAAATGAAAGAGGGAAAAGGTAAGGTGACTTCACTACTCTCTGTGAATCTCAGTTGTCCTCAGTTATTTTGTGAAAACGTGGGCACCAGTTTGTTATATTTAAGCATGTGTTAATCATGACATTTTTCATTATTGCTTATTCTGTGTTTTTGCAATGATGTATTGTTTAGTCTGTAAAATGTCAAAAAAAAACAGTGAAAATGCCCATAAAACTTTCCAAAGCCAACTTGTCTCAAACCCAAAGATATTCATTTCACAGCGACATTAATCTGAGTATATATAGAGAATACATTTTCTGAGTGCTGGGACTTGTTGTTGCCACTGCTGCTAAATGAAGAGAGAATATCTGTCCTTTGCTGTGTTTGAACTCAGAACACCCTGATTATGTGGCAACAGTGTTAACCACTGAACTGCTACAGGTCACCCTGAAAAAAACATGTAAAATTCACAATGTTAGGAGCTGTAATTGCTGACAAAGCCTTTAGCTTTGTCTGGACGAGTTATAGGCATAACAGAATATTGCTTAGTCGGATCATGTTACAATAAAGAGGAATCTGCAAGTTTAAGAAAAGGGAATTTAAGGAGGAATTAGGCCATCTCTTTTTGTGTGAATGAAGAAGAGGAACACGTATATCCAAGCAACATGTACACAATGGGTAAGTTTGGAAAGGTTCTGTCCTCACTCACAATGGCAGTGAATGGAAACTTGACTATCAAACTCAAACTCGGCAATCAACAAGCCAGAAAGATACAAGTCCAACTCCACTTATCAGAACACTGTACTACTAAGAAAATTGCCACCAGGATGGATTGAATTTTTTCGATTGATTTGCTCATGCAAGCGGTGGGATCGAACCCTGAACCTTTTGACACGGATGCAGATCCTCACGCAGGGAATAGTGCTAAACACTGAGCCTTGCAGGTATTTCACTAATGTCTAGCACAAGTTCACATTTTCTGGATGTGAAAATACTCTATTTTGCAAAGCTAACAGAACAACAGAGGGAAGTGAAAAAAGACCATATTGATTGTATCATAAAAGAACCCAAGATTAATCTGAAGTTGATTCCTTCCCCCATTGTTTAGTGCTTTTGTCATTTCCCAAACGATAACTGAAGGAACAAACACAACCCAGTCTCATATCCGGCTCAGGGTGAAGGATGAGGCAGCAGTGTCATCTCATATTTTATGCTGTGAAATGACTATTTTGTTTTGCAGGGAGGGGCTTGAGCGTGGAGTAAAATCCGCAGAGCATCCCTGCGGTGGTGTTAATCGATCCTGCGGTTTCCGCTCCTTGCCTGTCTCCAAGTTTGGGGCGTGCATGATTTGGTAGTAGATTTACAGCAGTATTACATTACTGCACTTTTTAAAATAGATATTCAGCTGTGCACTCTGTCAGTGTGGTATTGATTTTCAGTGATGTGTTGCTTCTGAAGGAGTGTCAAGCATGTTCACCACAACCATTTGCTTGTATGGATGGCTCTGGCCTACAAATCATGAATCAGGAAGATTATGCAGTAGATAAGATGTGCATTGTGCATTAAACAGTCAGTTGTGCGTCGCGTCAAATGCCTTTTTAATCTGATCTAAACTGTAATCTGAACTCTCCATAGCACAGTGGAGCCAAGCACACATTGTAGAAGCTGATGTGATGCTGTTTGATTGCATATACTGTATCCTTCAATTTAGGGACCAAGTGTCAGTCTAGCATGATCCTCTTAAACTGATCGGCCTTCATCTGTTGCACTTCCCTCTCCCCCTCTCTTTCTCTATTTTTATTTTTATTTTTTTACCTTGGTGTCTCTCTCCTCTTTTCTGTTCACATTCTGGTTTTTACTTTTTTGCATCGTTTTGTTTCTCTGCCACTCCCATTTCCTTCAACCTTTTCTGAGCCTGAGCCCAGGTGGGGCTGGGATGTTTTACTATGACTAAATGAATCGCTGCATATTTCATTCAGTCAGAGTTGTTTCCCATTTCAAATAATCTTCTCAGAAGAGGGAGGATGCTATTAATTCAAATGAGGTGCTAATTCTTACTTTCTTTTCTTCTTTTGTGTACTCAACACCAGGATAACCTCATGCACTGTAAAGACATGAGAGGACCAAGGTGCACGTGAAGATGTCCCAGAACGCAACTAAAAGTAAGCTCTTTTGTTGACATCTGTGCACAATGTTTTTTTGTCAGAAGGATTTGTTCAGTTTGCTGTGGGCATAAAGAAGACAGAGTGCAGAATACTTGAATGTAGACTCTTTTCAGTCCTGTCATCACTGTGAGGTTGCCAGGCAACCAGCAGAGACTCCACAAATTCACTGTTCCCAGCCAAAAAAAAATTCTTGAACACAACCTCTTATAACAACACAACTTGACGTTTTTTTGCACTTTGGTTTTTGTATGGATTAAACAACCGGATGTAACATGTTAACTTTGTTATCTTTGGACTGAGCAAGGCCAGCTGTTTTCCCGCTGTTTCCTGTCTTTGTGCTAAGCTAAGCTAATTGGCTACAAGCTGCAGTTTGTGTGGTATCAATTTTCTTATGTTACTCTCAAACAGAAAGCCAATAGTTTCTTTCCCAAAATGTCCTTTTACTTAACCATCATTATTACGCTCCCTGTCCCACTGTTGCCAGACAGGTTGAAGAGAAGCTTATAATATTTGATCACACATTTCGGAATTCACTGAGGTGAATTCACTGAGGTGTGCTCTATATAGAGATCTGTTAAAATTCAGAAGCAACGAATGAGAAAAAATAGAGAAGGGGATAATCTAATGATGATAGGGAAACATTTCCTAGCTTTGAACAACTGAGCAGGTGTTTTTCAAAGGTTAGTGTCATAGGTATCTTGACTAATTTCACTGGTGTTTGAAGAAGAACATTTTTATTTAATAGGTCATATGTTAATTTGGGAGTTTCACTCCCACTGAGTTTCACAGGCTGCTTCCTGTGTATCTGTGCTATTCGTTTTAAATTGGAAAGCCATTTCTATGCATTTCAGTTTCTTTTTTCTGAACCCATTTTGGGATTGATACCGTACCTGTGGTGAATGGTGCCAACTCTTGAGCACCATCTTTTTTCTAAAGCCTTTTTTTTTATCATTGATGAAAAGGACACATCATTTATGAAAGCTTTGAATTTCATTTGAAGGTGTTGAGACAGCATGTGTTGTATGTGAAATTTGATGGTCATGTTTTTTCATTCTTGGATATTTGCCTCTGTTTTTGTCTTTGTTGACTCCAGCATGGTGCCTTAGGCTTGTTCCAGTTCTTTTCTTCATCTCCTTTGTCACATACTACTGTTCCGATGCCATATTTCAGAGGTAATTACGCACACACACACAGGCTCAACTGTTTCTTTCTTTATTCTTTCTGTCTCCATTGCTCCGGTATTGAGGTCACATAATTACAGAAATGCCCATTTCTGGTAAAAAAAAAAAGAAAAAAGAAAAAGTAAGCTCATGAGGTCTGTGTAGTGCTGAGTCACTAAAAAAAGTTAAGAAGACATACCACATTTTGATCATGCAGTGGTCTGAGCTGATGGTCAATTTAGGCCCTCACACATGCCCATTCTTGCACTTTTTGAGTGTTCTGGACCCAGTTCCTGGCACGCGGTGTTTTTATGGATTCAGCAGTAGTTCTCATGCCAGTTGTGGTGATTGTCTGTCTTTCAGCTATGGAAGCACCAGCAAGCCTCTGAACAGTAGCAAAACTCTGTGTGGTGGCTGGCTAACCCAGAAGAAGTGGGAGAGCCTTAACTTTAAGTGAGTAATGGCATGTCTGTGTTTTTTTTAAAACACAAACTGGATGGAGTGGATGGCTTATTAAGGGAGGAAGGTATGCCAACATTTTTATTTGAACATAAGGTCTTTACCAGTCATGGAGGAAAAGCAAAGCTTAGTGAGAAAGAACAGGACTTTATTATAAAAAATATTTTTCCGTCTAAATCATTACATTAAGTTTCAGTAACTCAAGTGGAATGTCTTGATGGAATTGGTGAAAAGAACAGTTAATATAAAAACCAAGGTTGGCTAAGAAAAAGAATGAGCTCTTGATAAAGTTGCATTTGTCCTTCTCAGGTTCTGCCTTTTTAAGTAATCATTGTTCCATGAGCGCCCTCTCATTTATTTTCTTTTGCTCTATTATCAGTTTATTCAGCTGTATATTTACTGGTCTTTTTGTGGACTTTGTTCAGTTATCAAATAGTGATATGGTCTCAATCTGTGATTTGTCCCAACCTCCGCCAAGGTCCCAGCAGACCTTCCACTGCCTGCACTTTAACCTTTGAAACAGTCAAGATTCATAATCCCTGTGTTTACCCCTGTAAGAGAACATGATTTGCATTAGGCTGCCGGCAATCACGGTGACATTTCTCTAATTAAACCCCTCCCCGGAGATTTATCCTGATCTCCTGTGGAGAGCTAGCTGGCACACGAGGGCAATAAATGTCTGAGAGACTCACTGTCAAAGACAGCAGGTCATAAACAGCTGGAGTGTGAGGCCAGCAGACACAGAAAAGCAATTGTTTCCCATATTACAACTTGCCACATTTGTCTCACTCCATGGACTCTGTGAATGTTATTGTTTTCTTTTTCCTCTCCTCAGCACAGAAATGCCAACAGAGGATTTTAATGAGGGAAATTTCTATTGAATGACATCATGTAAATGGCTGGTTTGCTTATAATGAGTCTGGTTTACCTGCTTAATAGATACCAGAACATTTGGGGAAGTTAAGGCATCAGTCAAGCATCAAGCAAGTTTTCCATGTGCCAATATGAACACTGTACTGTTTGGCAGCACAATTCGTATTGTCCATTGTGTGGTTTGATAGTTATTATAGCCAAAAAATAAAATAAGTAGTGTTCTTCATCCTCGCTGGCTTATGCCTCATTCATGTCCTCCCCTCCTCTCTCAGCCACAAACCCTTCTGCAATATAATGTATCTACAGAGTGAAGCCGTGTGCACCGCAGTATTATGTTGTAATGCCTGGTCTAACATTCATCATGCAGCATTAGCAGACGGACTCAGCTCTTTCTGAAACTGGAGGATTTCTTCTGGCGGGAGCATCTGTCAGCGCTGGAATTACCTTATGGCATTAAGGGCAGCGGTATGTTGACTGTACATTATCCTCTGCTCTCTCTCATGGGTCACTCAGCACATGTCGCACATCCTCTTTATGAAGGTGTATGTTTTTTGTTTTTTTTCATATCGTATATTCACACATTTCCAGTCCTGAATAGGCGTCACGTAGACATGTGAATGTTAACACCAGCTTTAACGTCACTGTAGATCTTAATACCCACTTGTACTAAACAATATTTTAGACAATATTATATTGTAATATTTTTATATTACGTTTAATTATCATATTATTATATTATATAATATGACAATGAAATCAGAGGTACTCTACTGTCATAAAGGTTTTGATAAGAAAATCGCACATTTTAAATGTGGGTTTTGATCATGTATCCATTTGTAATCAGGATGATGGATTACATACATGACTCGTGGGAAAATTTAAGTCCTCAGTCTTTTATACGAGTTTCACTACTGTATTCAAAGTTTTTAGACGTCAATGCTTTTTCAGCTGCTCCATTTCTTGCTTTCCCTCCCAGAGCTGGTGCTACTGAAAGTTCTCGCTGTAACTGCAAATTATCAGGTGCCAGCCAACATTGAAAAGTAAGTGTGAGCATACTTTGGCACACAACACTAAAGCTCAACGTTCTATTGCTGTATTCAAGGTTTCTTTTTTTCTTTTTTTACATTTATTGGCCATTGTTGTCTTTGATTTTATTTTACTTCCATTGTGCACAACAATAATTAGTGTACTGCTCCAGCTGTGGTTCACATTTTATTTTTAGTCCTAGATTACGTCTTTGCTGTTGTTATGGGTACTTGGGTGAAGCCACATAACTATTACTCATAACAGTCAAGAAAGGACGATCAGATGTTACCGCTTTAGTAATGAAAGAGGTGTCAGTCATGTCTCGAGAGAAGGTGGCATTTTGTTTCTAATTTTTGAAACCATTAAAACACTTACCTCAAGACCTCACTGTTAAAAAGAAAAAAGTTGAGAAAAGCACAAACCAGTAAAATTAGTCAACTGAACTCATGAGTTTAAGTTCTGAAAGTGATAATTAAACAATTTAAACTTTAAGCAGACAAATGTATCTAATTGCACTGAGTTCATGATAAAAGAAAAGTTTATTTACCATAACGTATGTGATTTTACGTAGAAAATATTTTTTTCTGCGCTCTCGTACTAAAGAGCACGAGTCAACAGAACTTTCTCACTTTGTAATGAATCACAGATAAAGATTCTGAGTTTATTTAAATAAGACACCAGCTTCATTTGTTGGCACGATTTCGAATTGTACTTGAAACGCTGACAATTGAAGTTTATAAGGCCGAAAAACTTGTATTAATTTATGCCAAAGAATATAAATTGCAGTTTTTACAGTTTTGTGGGAGAAATAAACATAAATGTGCCACATTTCAAGTGTGTGTGTGTGTGTGTGATTTTGTGTATGTGTGTATGTTTGATTGTGTGTGTGTGTGTGTGTGTGTGTGTGTGTGTGTGGTGTTTCTCCACAGGCTTGAATGTAGAACCTGTGTAGTCATAGGCAATGGTTTTGCCATTAAAAACAGCTCCTTGGGAAGCATCATCAACAAATACGACGTGGTCATTCGGTAAGCAAGGATAACACCACATAAAAGTATTTTATTAGTGTAATCACATTTACTCATTCTTTTTACCATTTGATACCTTGCACAGAGGAAAGAAGAATAAAAGAGGGTAAGAATGAATTTTTGGGGGGGACTGTGTATTTTCATATTTTACAAAAATGACGCTCAAAATAATAACAGTAAACCACAGATCTCTGCATAACCACTTTCATGTTTGAGGATAGTTGGGACTGAGAGATTAGAAACAGATGGATCCTTGCAAGATGACCTTAAAAAGGGAATGTGTTCGTTTTCCCCCACAACTTAAAGCAGGATATATATTCAATGATAGATACAGTATCCGACTGTGTAACCGCCTGACCCTGACATAGAGCCGTCCTGTCAGCAATTAGCAAACTTTTGGGTCAAATCAAGTTCTTTATAGGAGGAAAGAAAGTGTTTAGTTTACTCAAGGACAAAGGCACTGTCAGGCATCTGACTTTAGAGCCTTGGAATGAACACATGCATTCTGAGTTTTTATAAGCCTCTTTCAAACAGGCAGAATTTGGCCTGGCCACAATGCATTTTTATCCCCCTCATCATCCCCCTGTCCTACTCCTCCTCCCTCACATCTCTCCTTCTCTTCTCAGAAGCTAATCGTTCCCTGGCCATGTGGCGTGAGGTTATTGACATTCAGAATTCAATACATGCCTGAGAGTTTGACGTCACCAAGCTGGTTCATATGCTGGTGTCATATACGCCGCTAAAGCCTGTTGAGAGTTAAGTTTCCAAAGTGCGGACTAATCGTTTAACCAAACAACGTCTCTGCTACTGTGTTAATTCTTTGGTCAAGGAATGAGTTATGATGTGGTTGTTTGAAGAATTTGTTAAAAGGAACAAAGCAAGGATGTTTTTTCAGAATGAAGCACATATCGATTTTTAAGCCCTGAACAGTCATACATATCTCATATTTGCAGACAACTTTCTTTTTTTACACTATCACTTTAAGGCATGTTTTTATCAGGTATACCCCTGACATCAACAGGCCTACTGGACATCATAATCCACATGCCAGTACTTAATACATGTTTGGCATTAACACAACTGGGCATGCCTCACAGAAATAGAACAAACATTAACTGATGAAACAGCAGCTTTTATGAATCAGAGCCACGTGGGTGTGGGAATCCAGTCACAGTGACTGGAAAACTTTAGGACTTAAATTGTTAAATGAGAAATTAGAATCATGCTACAGATAAAACGATAAAACGATAAAACGATTCTTACGGCACATGAACGGATTGCTGGTTGGCTAACCAAACAGCTAGCTTTGTTGGCTGGTACATCCTTATGCTGTTTGCTACAATAGCTAGAAGTTCTGATGACACGTGCAAGTGTCTGTAAAACATGTTCCTGGGGTTTACTCTCCATGTTCTAAAGCAAATCTGCATTCAATCGTTCTAAAAACTGAAACCTTCATGATGTCAACAAAGTTAAGTAATGATTTCTTTATCAGCATACAAAAAAACTACAGCTTCCATGGAGACTAACTGGCCTGGCAGTGTTGGTACTTGCGTATTCATATATTCTAACTCTCTTTTAAAGCTATTTTTCCAACATTTTTTATCTGTAATCGCTGCTGTCTAAAAGTTTCTACACATTTAAACATGTCTTAACTAGCTGCTGCCCCTCACCTTGTCCATGACCCTCATCTTCTGACTGCGGAAATTCTGTTCTTTAAAGGCCACCACAAACAAAAATATTGAATATAGATATAATTAGACTTAGCATGTGAAACATACTGTAACTGTTGATTAAGGCTCTGTTCCAAGGCTGGATTTTTACATTGTTCCAAATGTCAGTGGGATTTTGAATGAGCTAAAACGGGACCTGAAAGTTCTGGTGTTATTCTGTCTATGTGTACACTTTTCATCTGACTCGGGGATAAGTATTATTATAAGTAAACAATTTACAAAAGAAATTTTTTGTAAAGTTTTAGTTTACAAAGTTCACCATCATCAAAACACAAAATGATCTTTTGGAAGAATGTTTTCTTCCCTTCAGTAGAGTTCAGAGACTTGTAGACTCAATGCCAAAGCGCATTGAAGCTGTTCTGGCAGAAAGTCAGGGCCAACACTTTACTAAGACACTTCTATGTTGGTTTTTTCCTTTAATTTGTCACTGTTGTTTAGCTGGAGACGCATTTCCTGAATCTCCATCAAGTGCAAAGTTATGGCCAGAAAAGACAAAATTATGAGAAGACACAGGTTTATTTGTTTTCTTATAATGCTCAACAATGTTTGAAAGGTTGGGATGTCATTATATGAAGAAGAAAATCATACAATTTTTCCTTAATAAAAACAATCTTGAAAATTCTTGTCGGTGAATGTAGTGTCATGTCCCTGACTCAGGTTGAATAATGCCCCAGTGAAAGGCTATGAAGAGGATGTGGGGAACAAGACCACCATGAGGTTCTTCTACCCCGAATCGGCCTCCTACAACCCTGGACTGCAAAACGAGCCTGGCACGCTCATGGTCCTCGTGCCTTTCAAACAGCAAGATCTGCGTTGGCTCAAAGAAATCCTTTATAATGAGAAGAGGGTACAGTATATGTGTGAGAATGCTCTCTCCCTCTCTCACACACACACACACACACACACACACACACACACACACACACAGACAAACAAACACATGCTCGCCATATCTTTTTGTCTCACTTTCTTTCTTTCCCTCGCATAAACACACTCCTTTTAGCTTCTTTTCCAGCCCTCACTAGTCATCCATATCAGGAACAAACACTTAAAAGGTTCAACTTCAGTGATGCCAGTGCCCTTTAGAGTTAAATGTAGTTTCCATTGCAGGCATCCTTCACTCTGTTGCTCGGGGCACCTCCGGGCTCCTCCTGCTAAGAGTTGCAGGGTCATTACCCCCTAATTTGCACATTGATTTAGTTGCTTCAAGACATGAGGGAGTCATAGGTTCAATTGCATCTCTATTTGTGTAAATTAAGTCAGTGTGCGAACTGTGTTTCTGCTCCCTTCAAGTGCACAACATCCTGCCTCTTATCTTTCTCTATTGTTTTTCTGCACTTCAGGTCAGGAAAGGCTTCTGGAAGCCCCCTCCCCAAATCTGGTTGGGTGATGTCAGTAAAATCAGAGTGCTGGACCCCCACTTTCTGCACCAGACTGCAGATAGACTGCTCCGGATCCCCCTGCACCCCAAGAGTAGACAGGTGAGAGATTGCTTCCATGTCACTGTTTTGTGAATAACAGATCTGCCTGCAGTTGCAGGAGTTTTGGTTCAGGTCTAAACTAATTTCTTTCCCTGCGACTTAATCAAACCAATCAAATCTTTTAACTCACTCAGTCTAAAAGTGGTGATCTATAACTGTGATGGTGAGGCTTCTTCTCTGTTCCAGCTCATTAACATTGAACATTTCTGGCATCCGCGACTACAATTTTCCCACTAGAACCTTCTCTCTTGTTTGTTCCCTTTCTCACATACCTCCCTTTTTTCTCCTTTTTGCCCTTCACTGCTTCCCACATGAATGTTAACAAGGCTAGATGGAGCATCCACTGATTAGCCACAGCTCTTCAAGTGATACGTCTTGAGCGCTGTGATAAACAGTTTACTGGAAGAGGCATTTTTCTTGAAATGTAGCCGGGTCAATAGCGATTTTGTGGATCCAATTACTGCGAAACATGATGAAGATTAGCTTCTGCTTGGCATTCTGGCATCTCATTACAAGATAAGCTCCTCGTGTCTTCTAGGCTGCACAGTGAATCCCTGGGAAATAATTGGCTTTTGAAGGAAAGCCAAAATATTGTATGAATTTCAACCAGACGCTCTGTTTTTAGAATAAGGACAGTTCCCAGTGTTCTTTCTCTGCAAAGCTGATTATTGCTGTTTTCAGGGAAACGTTTTTTTCACGATTGCAAGGTTTAGTTGATCTTGTGCGAACATGCTTTGTGACTTTTGGCACAAGACAAAGACAAGATAACCTCATCAAAACGCAACAAACTGTAAGTGGAAACATAACCGCAAACTAACACACAAAACTTAATTGAAGAACAGTGATTGCGCAACGAGAAAAGATGACACGTTACAATTTTTCTGCAGTGTATCATTGATGTGTTTTTGTTTCACAAATTGGACCACGACTTACCTCGTTGGCTGAGGCGCTAGGATTTTGAAACACCATGGGACTTGACTTGGACCATTACTCATGTAGAATGAAGTTTTTATTGGCTCATTGCATCCCATCTGCCAAGTGGGGCTTGTTGTTGTGTGTGTTTGGTGGGGATCGTCTCTGACTGGCGTGGGCCTGAGCCAAGTTTTGTTTTGGTTCTGCTTGTTCCCCTCTCCTGAGCCCTTTTTGTCAAAGAGTGACGGGGGTGTTACCCTTTTGGACTGCAGTACAAACACAACTGGCTGGTGCGTCAGAAGAGTGAGCAGTGGGACGGCAGTGATCCTGCAGGCCACCAGCAGGCTTGCCCGACAGGAGCTCTGCGCCATCTGCACAGACTGTATGGTCGGTGGGGAGAGGAAGGTGGGCAGGAGGGGGAGGAGGAAGATGCAGGGATGATGTGTCGGAGAGGACTGGGGCCGACAGGAAGTTATATTTTGGTTGCTTTAACAGAATTAAGACACTGCTGCAAATATATATATATATTTCTTTCTCAAACAATAGTGATTTAACACACTTAACACAATAGGAAACCTAGATTTCCTTCACCATCCTCATGCTATCTCATCCTTTCCTCCTTTCTATCTGTGGGTATTCCTCATCCACCAAATACCAGCAGGGATCCTGACTGTAGCAGATCACTCTGTACATACCACTCCCTTCCTTGGCTACACATGCACACATGCAATGCACAAACTTTCCCTTCCCTTCAGTCTGAACATGAGACTACTGTAGTTCACACTTCTCTACCCAAACACAGGCTTGTGTTGAGCTCTTGCAAGGTATGGCTTTGTGGTGACACGTATGCAACAACCCCCCCCCCCACGCCCCACCGCCCGCCCGCCCGCCTCTCACCAAGGCTCCACGGGCCTGCATCCAAACTATGCGCCGGGCTGCTGCAGAGCTCTGGTGTTCGCCCGTGTGCTGGCGACCACATGAGGCTAATACACACAGAATGTCAGCTGTGTCCCATTGCGGGGTGCTTATCAGTTTCTGAATTTCAGAGGAAAAAAAAGACAGTCATGCTCAGTACAATAACAAGTCAAATCTATCTGTATGAATGTTTGAGAAAGGAAAGAGGCTGTGTTTCAGTTTCCTATCAAGGCCTATCGTGGTCAGGTCACCTTCTGTATAACTGCACCTCTCTGGCCAAACCTTTAGGCACTGGGCTTTGATGAAGGTCTTCTAGGCTAAAAGCTTGGCCTAATATAGGCAATTTGCATAAAACTAGAGACCAGCACTAGACAGATACATGTGCATGATGTGCAAACACCACCTTAAGCACAGTGTGCACATGCTCATAAACACACAATAACCCGATGTGCATAAATTAATTTTCAAAAAAGACAGACCTGATCTGAGCGAGAACTGAGCACAGTAAGACCTGAGCGAAAGAGAATTAGAACAGCGGCAAACTGCAGCAGCACAATGTATTATCAATGACACTGCTGCGGCGGAAAAGAGCAGCTACGGCGGAAAAGAGCAGCAATATAATCATAATACTAATATTATACTTGTCTTTTGACAAATCTATATAAATAACTGTGAAAGTCCTATTTCTACGTCCTGCACCAGATTCTCGTACATCATTCAACTCAAATGTTATTTTTAGACTTTTTCAAACATGTCTGACACTTCAGTAACCTCTGCTCAAATGCAAACACACCAACAAATAGGCAAAATAAATATGTTGAATAAATAAAATTAATTGAAAAAATAAAACAAAATAAAAAGAATGAGAATGTGAAATTCACACGGTCAAAGAGAAGAAGTATCTGTTTGCTGTGGAGAGCTTGCTGGTCTGTCATCTGGCTACAGACACGTTTTTGCAGCAGTACTTTGCAATGGGTAGTTTCTAAAATCAATAAGGCACCATTAGAATATAAATAATATATATATACATAATTTTATCAAAAGCTACAGTTAACTGACGAAGTTTTGGTAAAAATCAATGGTTTATGCGATCAATAAGCCCTATCTTGAGGAAATAAAAGAATAAGCCCCTATAAACACTGTTACATGCACCGGTGATAAACTGGACAGTAAAAGTGTCTTTACCTACATGGTAAGGGAAACATTAAATGGAAACCTTTAGAGGAAAGAGATAAGAAAAGGCTGTTGGGAACAGGTACAGCATTTTGAAAAGGGATGGAAAGGGAGTTTCTTCTATCTCCAGGTCATGTGGAAGTGATTCTCCTTCTTGCCTCCTTGAACATGGATAATCTCTGACAGTCATATGGGAAATGGCAAAGAACACTGGGAAATCTCTGCGCACAGTAAGAGCCCGCCAGGGACAACACAACACACATGTTGCAACTCATTAAATCTCACATCGGTTTCCTTTCTTGTTTTTCAAGATGTCAGTAGGGTGAAATGATGTCGATTTTTTTTTCTTCTGTTTTCTGGAAAGGCAGATAACAAAGTGACAAACAAGAAAACAGCAGAAAGATGAATTTTAGCACAATTTATTTTATGTAGAGCCATTTGGGAAACAGGCAAAGTGGGACGGCAACAAAGATCCCCCACTGGACTTTTGTCCATCATCCACTTTCCTTTATATCTCTTTATAGCTCTTATCTTTACTTGTCTCTACGGGAACATATCAAGTGATTATGAATATTCACGCCGCCTCTTACACTTTGTACATTCTTTTAACAACACTGATTTCACCTGACTATATAGAGAAGAATAGAGAAGATGTCTGAATGAGGAAGACAAAGTCACAATCCGGATGTGCAGACCTCTCCACATCAACCCAAGGCAGCAGCTGGGGCTCAACCTGCTGATGGTGGTTTGTTTTCAACTCTGTCATGAAAGAAATTTTCTGCTGATCAGGGATGGATATTTTTACTATGTAGCAAATGCAACATCACACTGGGCTTTATTCCTGGATCAAGCAACAATGAATCAGGGTCAGCTGAATTTATCATTGTGTTCAGGACATAAACTTTCAGGAGCAGGGCTGTGAGTAGATTTGAAAACAGTGACAGGTGTCTTAAGACCAATTTTATTGCTTATAGGTTGCCAGCTAAGAGGTTTCGTTTGGGTGTGCCTGTGCACTCAGTTTATTCTGACAGTAAGTTTTTCAAATAGTCATGACAGGAAGTGAGAGGGGACAGATAAATAGAGCAACATTTGGACCGGATTTGAACTCGTTATATTGCAGTTTGTGGTTAGCAGCTGAAACCCCCTGGGTTTCAAGACTTTTTTAGATTACACGTACAGGACAATGTATTTGCTATAGAAAATAATAGCTGCACGCACACAGAAAATGACTGTAATTGAGTAGAAGCCCCATGAATAAAACCATCTAGACCCTCATATATTCAGTCTTTTGATTTGTTAACGGCATCAAATGCAGCAGTGAGGTGTTTTATTTTTTTCATTTATTTTTTTTTTATTTTTTTAATGGCACTCATTCTCAGATAGAGTTGTGTCAGTGAGCACTTTGCTTCTGTGCCAAGAGCTCTCTTAAATTTTTCAAAAATAGAATCTGAAGACATATTTTCGCTAAAGGGGAACCAATTTCTCAAGTATTTTGACCAAAAACCTCAATTGGGAAATTGGCCTGAAGTTGTTGAGTGTTACTGGCATCAGGAGTGCTTTTCTTCAGCAGAAGCTGCACTAAGTATGTGAATACGCTGCTGCAAAACACCCAGTCTGCAGGGTGAGACTTGCTAATGCCTCGGATAGTATGTGCATAGGAAGTTGTAGTTCTTTTGTTTTGCCAAATCTCATATAAAGTACGATGTTTTATATAACATAGCCTTGATTAGGCATGTGCCTATAATAAGTGCAGTCAACCTGTGTGGGAACAAGGGGGAGGCTTTTGTTGTCAAGAACTGTAACCATGACACAAAGTGCTGCTGAGATTATTAGATTGCATTCTGCACGTGGAAAGGATTGAGTTGACCAACTGCACGCAGAAGTTTCTCTTGCCCTGTGCTACCATCTGGTGGTTGAAATGAGAGGCTGCAGTTTTTGCATTGAAGGGAAAAAACTCAACCCCCCATTCTTTCTGCCAGGGTGTCTTTTTTGATTCTACCACTAGAATGTCACAAATGTTCACACCATACACACAGGGGCTTTAGAATGAGTGCAGTGGACTGTCATTAAGTTTTGTTTGTCACAGAAGCCAGTGCATCCTACCACGGGTATCCTCGCTGTGGTTGTCGCTCTCAACTACTGTGATGTGGTCCACATTGCTGGTTTTGGATACCCTAACTCAAAGAGCCAAAGGCAACCTATCCATTACTATGGGTATGACACCATGAGGTCCATGAAGGTGGGTAGCGGTCATCTACAATCTGTGGTAATACACATGCTTTCAACTCTTAAAATACTGATGCACCTCCTCTCTCTCTCTGTTGCAGAATTCTTACCATGACCTCAATCATGAAGCTGACGCCTTAAAACGACTGGAGGATTCAGGAGCTATTATGTACCTGCACCCACATTTATGATACACACTTTTTTTCCTGTTTGATTAAATCCAAAAACAAAGATTGTACACCAAATTGTATCTGAATTGGGTTTGGCTCCTCTGATCCAAATCGGATCTTAAATGTGCCTTCTGCAGCGGGATACAAGACATTTTTCTGTCAAGGTTTTGAGTGTCACAGATTTAGCACTTAAGAACATTTGTCTCCCTGGCACCTTATATTCTGTAGAGCTGCTTTTTTAAAATAGATTTCCTGTGATTTATCAAGTGCAATGGTTTTTGGTAGCATGGCTCAGCATTTTACATACATTTTGAAGGTTTGTAACCATTATGGGTAAACTTTCTATTAATGGGGTGACCCAGGTGTTGGTTTAATCTAATCTATCTAATTTAGGTCTGATAACATTGGCTCTTCAATAATTCCAGTGCTTTGATGTTGTTTTTAGGGCCATGTGATGGTTTGCCATAATGTAGGACTCAAGCATTTCAGATCTACAGCTCAGCATGGGGTACATTTCATGCGTATCAGTAAGACTAATCAGTATCATGGTTTGAGATTTGTTTTTCATTTTAACAAGTAAGATGTAGTCTTTTTTTTTTAAAGTATGTTTTACAGGATAAAAAGAGGTGTTTTAGAATCTCTGGGGATTTTTTAATGAACTTTCAATATACATTTTAGTTGAAATGAAATGAAAATGAACAGATCAAACCCGATTCACACAGTAAGGTGGATTGCATTCAGCTTACTTTTAGATTTTGTCAGACTGGAAATACAGATTGTATTTTTTACAGTTAGATTAGATTATAATTGCTGTTTAATTTATTAAATTTTTTTCCAGAAACAAACAACTGGAATTTTTTTTATTGTAAAGAATGAAATACATTTTTAATTAAAAGAAAATCAAACTGAATTTCATTTGATTCTCATTAACCATCCATACAGTGCAATTCATATTTGTCATCAACTCATTCATGTTCACATGAATTATTGAACAGGCTCATGAATCTGCTGTATGGGAATCACTGCACTTTAATGAGATGACCTGAGTGAACCTGCATCGAGCTGTTGTTTGTTTTGCATACAAGAGTATAACATTACTGTTCGCCACTAGATGGCAGACAGCCTCTGTTACATGCATATTATACAGTAGGTACTCTACTGCACTGCACATGGTGCAGTCATGCAGCAGCCCATCTTGAAGTGCCGGGGGGGGTAATGGTAACAGAAAAACTAGCACTAGCGCATGTGCTAGGGAACACGCGTACAGTATGAACATCTGGAAGACCAGAAATTTTCACAATGCTAATAATTGAGAATGACTAACACACATTTGCCACCAGCGACAGATGTTAATGATGATTTCCAGTTTCTGTACACACGGCCCTCTATTAGTGTTGACATGAATAGAGTTGTGCCCTTGGCACTTAAAAACTAGGCTTACTCATTCGATGGTACAACATCAGCTATGACAGGGTCCAGTTCATCTGCTGAGATCAGAGTGACAGGAGACATTTGTTGTGCTTTCAGTCCTATTTATTACAGTAAATGCTGCATTGCTACTACAACACCAAGTACTACAAATAATAATAATAATAATAATAATAACAACAGTTTACTAATTATACCATATTTCTGATATTCTGGTGTGAATATATTCAAGTATAATGTCAAGTGCAGATCGGTATCTTTTGAGTGATGTATACCTTGCCTTCAGGGTGAGGCTTTTGTACTATAACTAAGTTCCACTTTGCTCGTGTATGCTTTTATACCAGCAGAGCTCATGAAGGGATGTTTTTAATGCCGTACACTAATTCTGGTCTGATACATTTGCTCAGCTGTATGTTCCATTTTGCCTAAATCTGTGTATTTTGCCTGGGTTTTGTTGATACGTAGGATCAATCCTATATTTGCAGCAGGGTACAGACCATAATCATACACCTACCCTCTTATTCAGTTCACTACAATTGTCAATTGATGGTGCTAACTGATTTTTCTTGCCACTGAAAGCCAATCTGACAGCAAACAAAACGTCCTTTTCAGTCCATTTAAAGCTCATCATTTCAGTTTCTGAGAGCCGCCCATTATGTGTGGAGAGGATATTGTCTGTTAGTGTAAAACCATCCTTTTTCAACCGCTCCTCAGGCATTCAAACATGTTTGAAAAAAAAAAGCATGCAAGCATGAGTTTCACGTTCATTCACATCCACATGAATACACACCAACTGTATGAGCTTATGCTTCCACTCAGATGTACAAACATTTACCTTCATATCGCTGCAAAATATGTAACCGGTCATTTTTTTAAATTAAATTATCTGGACCGTTGATATGCATTCGTTTTCCCAACAATACAAGGGAAGTTTTGAAAAGTAGCCCCTGTCATGTCACGCTTGATGGTCTGTGTTCACTTCCCTTGTGGGAACACAACAGGGAGTTACATAATTGAACAGGATTTGTGTGAATCTGCAGGCTGTTTATATGACAACTGAAAATCAGGTCAGACTTTTCTGGAGAAACTGTTGCACTGTAAGCACAACCTTCGAACCCCCCCCCTCCCAACCCAAGTCCAGAGTGTTCGCCAGTCAGTGTGCTGCAGAGCAAACGTGTTAACGCACTGCACGGTGCTGTTAACCACATCATCTTATGGTACAGTGAGTGCATATTTTTTTAGCATGGGTAGCTCCTGTGTGAATTAAACTCCTAACCCTGGCACAGATCACACTGTTCTCTACCAACTGAGCCCCCCCCAACAAGCCCATTTATGCATGTTGTGGTGACCAAATGAGCCTATAGCTGCTCTAAACAATAAAATTCATTTGAAATGCATAGCTTTGAACTTTCCGGCAGACCCCCACTAAACTTTGACCCCAAATGCATTGGTTTAGATTTTACAATGCAGCAATTTTATAGAAGAATACATGGTCCGTGATGATTGCTGTGCCACTCTGTAAGTGCAGCCTCATGCAGTCAGAAGCTCTGACAGTGTGGTTGTTATTACAGTTTGTCTCATTACACCATCTGCTCTACGCCCGGTGCTCTCAGCCTGCCGGTGCAACATCTTACTTTAAAACAGTTGTTTTCTACTTGGAAGTCATGATGCTCTGATAGATCACAAGATGATTTTGCACATTCTGCACACTAAGGTGGGAATAGTTTCTATTTCATTTTGTAACAGAAAATGCAGTAAAATAAACAAATAATAAAAAAAAAGGTCTCATATTCATGGTGGTGAGTGTTGCACCAAGGGGATCGGGAGCTGGAACACTTTATTTGGAGGTGCCACAAGCCAGAAAAGCAATAGAGCCATTGCTGGGATTGGCTTTCTCCCTGAAGACATTGACCTGATGATGCCAGGTACACAGCGATCCAATGAAGACACCCGAGGCCTCCTGTACTCTCAACATTGTTAAAAAAACAATCAAGACGCACAATGTGGCTCTACGGTGTGTCTTTGTAAGGAGCCCAGCGGACAGTTTGTGTGGGAAGAGGTACAGTATGTAGCCGGCTACCTAGAGAGAGGGCATCTGGCTTGGCTCACTAATAACTCCCCCACAGCCCGGAGAGCGGCTGTGAGTCAGGTGCTCATGCAAACACAACACTACCATGGGAACCAGGAGAATGAGTGGGAAATCAGAGGAGTGAGGGAGAAAAAAAAAAAAGATAAGCGGCTTTTCTCCAGTGTGAGTTTTGCTACTTCTGCTTTTCCTTCATGACGCCCTTTTTACTGACTGTCATCTGGGTACTGCCTCCATGTGACGTAGGATTCTCACTATGATTCCCAGCCATTCCTGCCCACAGAGAGGCTTCGGGCTGGAAGAAAAAAAAAGGTGTGATGCACAGTTTTCTTGAAAAGGACAACTGTCAAAAATAGCAACAGACAGAAAAAACAGGATAAAAAAAAATAGAAGGAGACTAATTCACAACACTTTATGCTAAGTGGTTCCATGTATCTGTTGCACAACCCAAAAGGTCAGCCAACTCAGCTGATTTAAAGGCTAACCCGCCATCATTGTTTCCTCACAGACAGCCAAAGGGACACTTTATGTTAGCTCAGTATTTGTTTTTGCTGTGAACTCATTAAAAATGACACAGCATCATGATTTCAGAGTAAATGGGCTTCTGAAATGTAAATTTAGGTTACAATGACGGTTTTATTATCAGCTGTTAAGAAGCTTATGCTCTTTTTTTCTTTCAGTTAATTCTTTAACAAAGATATTAAATTAATGCAAAGTAAAACTTGAAGGAGACAGGATCTGTTTTGAATCCAAATTGAGCCACAAGTCTGTTAGAGTGAGTCCATGTTTCCTCCAAAGAAAAGTGCAAGTCAAAAAGTCATTACAGTGGCATGGCAGTAGAACAAGAGGATTTCAACATTTTCCATGTTATTTGAACTGTATGAAATAGTGTAATTTAAAAAAGTGCTATGCTTTTAAAGTTGTTCAACAAGAAAACACAGATGGCAAAATAAACGTGTTAAGCAAAGCCAGTATTGGTTAAGCATGGCTAGTATCATAGTGTGGTGAGATATGGATGCATCGTCTAGATGGATACATACATATTGAATATATACACACTGTGTTGTGAAGAGCAGGCTTGGGAGAAGCAGGAAGGAGGAGGGGCTGGAGGAATCAGAGGTAATAAGAAGGATTGACTTCAGGTGTAAACTTCTTTGTCTACCTGCAGCAGAACCCTGGGCTCTCCTGGTCACAGTTGTTTGACAGTGAAATGTGAGTTTCTTTGTTGTTTAAACCTTGCAATATACGATTATTAGTTATGGTCAAGTTATGTTAGTAGTTGCTTTATATCATGACTCTCTAAGTTTATATATTTTTAATGGACTTAATTCATGATTCATATTTTCTCTTTAGAGATAAAACCAGTAACAATTGTTGGCCATCTACTTGTCCCTTGTATAAATAACCTTGAAAGACTGCAAATAAACCTGGAAAGATTGGAATTGACCTGCTACTTCTCCTGGTGTCTCATTGTGCCTGACCGCACACCCACAGTGTTCACATTACCTGGAAACCAGTACCACCACCAACATACCACTAATATCAAGCCTTATTAACATGGCCCTTTGTGCCGGAGCCATTGAATGCTATGGACGGAGCACCTAGGAGATCCAATAGACAACCGCAACCCCTCTATAATCTAGCTATCATACTAGTAGGTTTGATACCAGGTGGCTAGCCATCCAACCCCCCAGCACCCTCCTAAAGAGTTGGTACATATTCAAAATGATATTGGTGAGCTATGTCAAATGATGATTCGGCTTGGAGATTCAATGCAAGCTTTAGCAAACTGGCTGGACAACATGGCCTTTCCATATGGTTCATCTAGTTCAGCTGAAGCCTCTACCCACGCTTGTCCAGCCCACCAAAATCATCCCTCTTATGGGCACGATCATTCTTTCCAAGTCGGTCAGTCTCTAGTGGAGCCTGCAGCAATATGAGTTCCAGGCCACACATCCCCAACACGGCCTCCAGTCTCCAGCTCCAAGCCATTCTCCTTTTACCACCAGAATCCATGCTGCCTTACACCAGAACCTCAGTCCCACTCTATCACCCCTTCTCCCAAACCTCAGGCTGACAATCAGCCGTTAGGCCGTCCTGGTAGATAGGGTTTGAACACCTCCTCTCACCACCGAGGAGATCAAGCGGTATCCAGTGTGGCACCTCCATATAATCTTGTGCACCCTGCAGGGCCACACATCGCCATCCCAGCATCACCGAGCCCCCCTCCTCCCCACCCCCCTGCTACCTCCCTCACCTCATATGTCGCACCCCCTGTTCATTCATTGATTTCCCTAATTCACACAAAGGATTATGTTTGAAAGTTAAATACAT